TGTCACTCCATTCGACAGACGGAGTTGAAAAAAGCTCAGTCGCGTTGAAGATGCTGCTCGACTCGGTCAGAAAGTCGTACGCTGCCATCTGCGAATCGATCTGGTCCCAACTCAGCAGAAGCCTCCGGCTGTCGGTAAGGAGAATCCAATCTTCTCCCGGCCAGCCATCTGGTGTGGAAAGGACGTCATCCTGTCCTGTTTGCTCTGTACGAAAGTAATTTGCGTCTGTCGTTACTCGGTAATCATCCCGGAACCACGACTTGTTCAGATTTCTTCGATCTTCTTGCAAGTCTTGCGGTTTGTATATATCCCTACCGAGTGCAGCCTGAAATTGAGCGCCTATCAGCTCGTCGGAATGAGGTAGTCGACCCGGCATCGGGGTGTGCGCGGGCGAGGAAGGGTCGGTGAATGGCGCTGCGGCGTGTAGATTGATATCGAGAAAATGTAGTCGTGCAGAGATAGTGTCTGAGGTGTGGTCAAAGTAATCATTGTACAAAGAAATGACGGAACCGATGTTCAAGTCCAGACTACACATGTAAGGTCCCAGTTTGAGTAAAGTTCCACCTGTGACACCAGTCGCCGTTGGGATGGCCACATCGCCCGTCGCCGTGGTCGTAATACTACTAGTTATCGAGGGAGAGGTGGCGGTGAGCGGCGAGGTGGAGTTGTCCGGCAAAGACGACGAGGCCTGTCGAATTTCGAGGCTAGGAACAAGGGACACCGATGCATTTGACGCTACCGTGGTGGACGAGACGGGGGTTTCGAAAGAAGTGGATGCCGTGATAGAATACAGTGCCGACGAATCCACACTGTAACCAGCCGTCGCATTGCCCACCAAAGGAGGAAGCTCAACTGGGCACAGACTGAATTGACGGTTGATGTTATCCCAGTAGAGATCGATGATCAGCCGGCGGTATTGGCTTGCAAACAGATCTGATATGCATGTTTGAGCCGGGAGGTCATCGTAGACCCCATCAGAAAAGCAGGCCTTTGTGACGTAGATTCCGGGATGGGTTATGTAGTTGATAGGAACCTGTCCGGAAGCATCTCGCATGGACTTGTTCAATTAGTTGACACGAGCAGTCTGGAGGTGAAGGGAGGCAACCTACCAGGAACACGGTTCCCCAATGGTCGTCCGGTTCCGCCGCAGGGCCAGGCTGGTATTCGAGGGACGTCATATGTCAGAGAGGTCTCTTGACATGTTGAGGGAGAGTTGGTCGGTCACTGATCCCAAGATTGGGAGAGGGAGCAGAGACGGGTCGGTGACAAGTTGGGATGGGAAGAATGACCAAGCTTAGAGTGTCCGCGTTTTCACGCTGAATGGGTTTCCGTCGTGTGTCAACGTCTGGGTTGGACTATATTAACAAACTTCTCTGTAAGCTCACAATGTTGAGTACCACTTGTGCCGGTGAATGATGGTCGAGTTGTAAACGGGTTCCGCCATATGATATTCTGGGATATTGCACAGCCACGGTCTTGGCGACGAGGCTGAAGTGTGTGGCGCATGACCAATGGCCTCGCGCGGCTTGTGCCCCCCATAATTTTTGGCGCCTCTATTATTCTGATCGCAAACCGTGTCTTCTATCCAGGAGCCATCTCGCCCTATAATCGGCATACTGACGATATTCTCTCTCTTAAGTCTACGTTATTATACTTTTAGTTTGGTAGACTCAACACATCCAAGGAAATCTTTGCTCGATCTCTCACCTCCCCTCTCTTCCGCAGGCCTCTCCTACAACTCTGCAACCATGGCATCCCCAGGCGGCCCTCCGCCGGGCGCCCAACCCTTCAGTCCGCAACAAATCCAACAATTGATCGCCATGGAAGCGCAGAAGCGTGGAATGACCATCCCTCAGTTTCAAGCCTTTCAACGACAACAGATCGAGACCGAAGCCGCTAAGGCGGGAATGACCCCTCAACAATTCATCCAGATGAAGCAGGAAGAAGCAAGACAACAATTCATACGCCAGCAGCAGGCGGCTCAGCAGCAGCAACAACAACAACAACAACAGGGTGGACAAGCACAAGGACAACCACGAGGACCACCGCCGGGACAGCAGACTCAACATATCCCCTTGAATGCGAAGGTGGAACCCAAACCAGAAGCATTGGCCCTGGCAAAGTTTCTACGTGCCCAGGATCTGAAAACTCGCACATGCATCTTTGACGGCGGGAGGAAGGATATGTTCAAATGTATGGTCAAAAAGTCACCTCTGTACCTTTGTTCTCTGCTAACCACCACACTGGACAGTGAAACGAGCGTACCGTGCCCTGCACTCTGACGCCTACAAAAAGGCTCAAAAGAAAAACCCCTTATTACCGAAAGTCGAGAACGACGTTGAGGCGCGGACAGCCTTGCAACTTCTTCCCCTGTCGATGCTCGCTCTTCGAGTTTCCAAGAAGGATCCACATGAGGGACACAACCACGCCAAACCCAAGAAAGAGAAAAGAGTCAAGGGATTGTGGGAAGTCAAGATCGAGCAACAACAGGACTTTGATCCTATGATGTACTACGTCTGGTTGTACGAGGGGTCACAGTGGAAGACCAAACTGTGGGCGGCATTGGTCCTTGTTCTGGTGTTCGCAGCAGTCCTCTTCCCGTTGTGGCCGCTCGTTCTGAGACAAGGTGTGTGGTACCTCTCGGTGGGCATGATGGGGTTGATTGGCCTGTTCTTTGCCATGGCTATCTTCCGCCTGATTCTCTTCGTTATCACATTCTTCCTCGTACCGCCTGGGCTGTGGTTGTATCCCAACCTATTCGAGGACGTCGGCTTCTTCGACAGTTTCCGACCGTTTTGGGGCTGGCATGAAACCAAGGAGGATATCAAGCGGAAGAAAAAGGAGAAGAAGGCTAGGAAGGCTCAGAAGAAGCTCGCCGCTGCGACCGCTGCTGCCGGAGGTGAGAAAGGTGTGACTCCAGTAGCGCAGACACCCGTGCCCTCGAACGGTGCAGCCGTCACCTCTGCGGTTGAGCCTGCTGCCACGTCCACGACAGCTAAGCGACATGTTGCTCCCACGGTGGAGGAGGCTGACGATGAATGATTTCTGGTTTTGGGAGTGGTCTTTACATGTAACGGCGTCCTGGGTATACGAGCGCAGGTTGACGCAGAGTGCAGATGGATGATGTACCAACAACATTGGGCTGCTGTCGGATTTTACAAAAACAGGGCCTTTCAACAAACATGAGCACTTTTTTTCAATCATGTCCGAGTCCACCCCAAGACCTGTCCCAATTTCTCTTGATCCGTCTGCGGCGGCGGTCGTGGCACCACCTCGCGACGACGCCGCTTCGTCCGCCGCTTCGGCTGCTCCTCTCCACGTAACTGCGCCGCGATCCTCAACAGAATGACTCTGGTGCGGTCCAGTTCCTTGGCCAGCTTGCCATGCTTGGTGACGAGATTTGGCTGGACATTCTCCTGCGGATCGCGCAGCGGCTCCGTCATTTCCTGGAGGTGTTGGTACCTGGCGAGCCGGGCCTTTAGCGCGTCCCTCTGCCGGCTGAGGGTGACGAGCTCTCCACGTAAGCGGGCGTATTGTTCTTCCGCGTCCTTTTGGCCTTCTCTGCCGTCCCCTCCCTCTTCATTTCTCGCGGTGTCGTGGTCCGGGTGGATATGCAGGGCGGCGTAATCGTGCGGCAGCGCAGAGATCACGGCCGAGTCCCCCAGGTCGACGTCTTTGCGGATGGCGAGCGTGTCGAGCTCGGCGTGCTCCGCGGCGGCGCTGGTGCGCGCCCACAGCAGCGACTCGATCTGCTCGGCGACGTGGCGCTGCGACTGCGTGGAGAAGACGAGGCGGTTGTGCTGTTTGATCTTGTCGTTGACTGTGTAGACGGGCGTATAAGTGTGCGTTCAATTCGTAAAGTCAAAATCATCAATTTTCTGTTTCTCTCTCTCTCCACCTCTTGGGCTCTCCCTCTCTGGCCGACACGCATTGTATTTTCCCGTCACAAGAATATAGAAAATATGGAGGAAGGCGATCTCTCGTACCTTTCGCAACGAGGTCCTGGACCGCTTTGTCGCTGAGCAGAGGGCGGCCCTCTCTGGACTCAGGCCCGGGGTTAAGCCCATGAGCGCGCCAATGAGTCGACGGCTCCAACGGCGTTTCAAGCTGACGCACCTCGACGCGGAGGAAGGCTGCTTTGATCGCCGTGATTGTTGGTTCGGCCATGTTTTCTCCTTTTCGTTTCGGTCGTCGGGAGGAGTAAGATGTCGTTGTTGTAGGAGGTAGAGGTGTGTAGGGTGTTGTTGGTTCTTCTTCTCGCTAACGCCGCGACGCGGTCTAGACGACTTGTACGAGGTACTGGGCGCGTCTTGGGATGGGCGCTGCACTATTAGTGCGTACTCCGTACCGTAGCCGTTGAGAATTCCCTCTACCGCGGACCGTAAGAACCACAAGCGAAGTCACCGACAAGTTCATGCCCCGGTAAGGCTCAAACCGTCAAAGACCTCGGCTCAACCCTCGAAGCGGCGGCTCGGTCATCTCTCCCCAACGGCCAAAGACCATTCATTTAATTGCCTTTGACCTCGTACATTAATTATTATTTGAACGAGTTCCACCGGCTCTGTTCTTGTCTCGGTAGAGAATTTTTGTATCCACAGACAATACAATATACGTGACATACATTCAGACATAAACATAGATGGCCTTATTAGGAGTTTGATGGTCCTCTCATAATCGATTGTCTTTTGTTCGCGACCCTCGCCTCTCTACTTTGCGAATAGACCTTTTTTCCCGAGCCTGTCACCCATCATGGCCTCGCAGAGTCGGCCCAAGGTGCTGATGTTTGATATTGGAGGTGTTTGTGTAAGTGCTCTCCCCTGGACTTTGCGACTTGGAATCTACGTGGGGAAACAAATTCTTGAGATTATGAGCCCGTCATCAGATCTGGTCGCTTTTTGTATTGGTGGGACATTTGGAGAATGGGCAGGAGAGAAGGAAATATGAAGAAGAGAGAAAGAGAGAGAGAGAGAGAGAGAGAGAGAAAAGAGAGAAACCCCTGCATGTCCAAGGCTAGATACGCCCGAGATGAACAGGTGTTGACTGGTTTTCCCTCTCTTTAGGTCCAATCGCCCTTCCAAGCCATCCTCGAGTATGAGATCGAAAACGGCATTCCAAAGGGCTACATCAACTACTCGATCCGGGAGCTGACGCCGGACGGGGCGTGGCACAAGCTGGAGCGCGGCGAGATCCCCAACGACGAGGACTACTTCCGGCTGTTCAAGGCGGACCTGGAGCGGGCGGACCTGTGGGCGCGGTTCCACCGCGAGAAGCTGTCCATCACGGACCCGTCGAAACTGCCGCCCGTGCCCAACTTCGACACCAAGACGCTGTACTGGAACATGATGACCTACTCGCGCAACCCGGACCCGTGGATGTACCCGGCGCTGCTCAAGCTGCAGGCCGACGGGCGGTACCGGTTGGCGGCGCTGTCCAACACGACCGTCTACCCGGAGGGCCACCCGTTCAACAACCCGTCGCCCGTCGACGTGCGCGACGTCTTCGAGATCTTCGTCTCGAGCGCCCACGTCGGCATGCGCAAGCCCAACCGCGACATCTACGAGTACGCCCTGGCCCTGATGCGCGAGAAGTGGGGGTCCGACATCCAGTTCCACGACATCGTCTTTCTCGACGACATTGGCGAGAACCTCAAGACCGCCCGCGCCCTGGGCATGCGCACCATCCGCGTCGTCCTCGGCAAGACAAAGGAGGCCGTCCAGGAACTAGAAAAGATCACCGGCTTGACCTTGGTGGGTGAGCCGTGGTCCCAGGACAAGGCCAAATTATAGCAGTTTTGTTTGCCTGTCATACCTCTTTACAGGGAATTCGTTGGGTGTTTACATAGACCGACCAACCAGGAAAAGGGTCCATATAGAAGCCACAAGGTGTCGTCTGCTCCCCTCTTTCTTCCTGTTTACTCAGAGAGAATCATCCACCTGGAAATATGGTATGGAACATAGAACTTCTACCATTATCTGACTATCCCTCGGTAGTAGACGTGAACCTCTTACAGCTACAGCCTCAACAGGCGTAACCGGAGTTTTGCCGATCTATCCATCCGCCCTCAGATTGTCTGTCCTTGTTTGATCTTGAGTGACCGCAAGCCTGAACATCCCTATCTAATCACACAGATTTAATTGCCCTCAAACAGCAGAACTCTTATGCTGGATGCCTTCGACAACCTCTGACTTGAGTTCACCAGCTTCATTAACTCCCATTGCTGCCGCATAGGTCGTCTTCGGCGTCCATCGCGATGACGTCCGTGGAGTCGTCTCTTCCAGCATGCGGTCAACTTGTTCGAGTGTAAGGCCTTTGGTCTCAGGAATGAGGAAATAGGCATACACAAGGCAGCATGCGCACAGGGAACCCCAGATGAAGAAAACCTTGGGCCCGAGGTTGCCTTTGTCGGTTCCGACCATGTATGGTGTGATGACGGCAATGATCTATCACATGGATCGCGTTAGTGAAGTCTCGCAAACGGAAAAGCATGTCCACTTACACAGTTCCACAGCCAATTCGAGGCGGTAGATAGCCCGACTCCGCGCGATCGGATAGGGAGAGGAAAGACTTCTCCGATCACCACCCACGCACCTGGTCCCCAAGTGGTTGCGAAAAAGAAGATGTAAATGCAAATGAATGCAATCTCCGCCTTGACTGTCTGTGGGTTGCGGCCGTCGATAGTTCCCGCAATTGCCACGATGCACTGACACACGACCATGCCGAGAGCGCCCCAGATCATGATGGACCGCCGACCGAATCGCTCGATGATCCAGAATGACACTGGTGTCGAACAGACATTCACGAGGGTGGTGATGAGTGAAATGAGGAAGGGATTCTGAATGGAACCAAGCTGGGTGAAGAAAGTGGTGCCGCTATCCTCCCTGTTAGCATCATACAGTTCAATAAGGCCTGTGGTAAGATCTATGCGAGAGATGTGCAAGTTGCCAAATGACTTACAAATAGAAGATGAAGTTGACTCCGGTCCACTGCTGCATCATCTGCAAAGAAGTACCCAAAATGGTCCGTCGCAGGTTCGAGCTCGGTCTGAACAGACTCCCTCTGAAGCAGTTGGCCCAGCTCGCAACGTAACTTTCCTGGGGAACGACCCGCAGCTCATACTCGTGGTTTGCGACGATCTCTGCCAGTTCTTGCTGGATCAGCTCAGAGTCACGAGGCTGACCTCGCAGCCTAGCAAGAGCATGGGTTGCTTTGTCGAGTTTCCCACGTTTTACAAAATAACGTGGAGATTCAGGCAGCACGAACAGTCCTGCGGCTAAGATAACAGCCCAGAGCATCTGAAGAGCGATTGGGATTCGGTATGAGCTGGAGTCGGTGAAGTCTTCCGTGCTGTAGACAACGCACGATGCCAACAAGAGCCCGAGGGTGATGCAGAACTGGTAGCCAGACACAAGAGCACCGCTACATTCGTGGCATCAGTACTGGCCACTTAAAAAACACCAGCTAGACCTTGGGAGACTTACCGAACCTTGCGGGGCGAGATTTCCGACATGTACAGTATGATTATGGCAGACACGAAACCAACACCAAAGCCAGCTATGAGACGTCCGGCGATGAGAAGGCCATAAGCTGTGGAAGCAGTCTGGAGGGCGGCACCGAGACAGAAGACGAAGCAACCGGCAATGATGGTGGTTCGGCGGCCGATGAAGTCGGCTAGGTCACCGGCAATGACTGAAAGATGGAGTCAGCATGGCTTGAGAGCAACGATTTCCAGCCGACTTACTTGCGCCAAAGAAAGTTCCACAAGACAAGATTGACACGATCAGGGATTGGCGCGATGAAGGGACGGCAAAAGCAGCTTTCTCTGGAGCCGTAGCATCTGCCCCTGGATACGGCTTGCCGGTGAACTCATGGATGAAGTACTTCATTGCCATCACGCCATTGATGTATCCTGAGTCATACCCAAAGAAGATCCCTCCGAAGGCAGCAAAGGCGCACATCAGGTAGGCTCTGAAAGTGACAGGGGCTTCGATCCGGGCGACATCGGTCGTGGCCGTAAGGTGAACAGCACCACCACCAGGCATGTTGAGTGATTAGAGACGTTAAGATAGTGATTGTGTGGCTGCGACTGGACGATGTTTTTAATGCTGATACACTGGATCAGGTGCGGAAGTATGCACAGCGATGTCGAAGCGAGGATGCGGTGAAGTCGATGCAGGGAGAGGATGAAGAGGACTCGAGGTGTGCAGGAGAAAGAGAAGAACAAGTGATGGAGCAATCAGGAGAATGAAGCAGGCGCAGTTCGACAGTCGCGTACTTGAAGTTGGAAAGGATGGACGAGGAGGAGAGAAGGAACCCGCAGGCAATGTTTGTTTGTTCACGTGGTTCATGGCACAAGTGAAGAAGAGATGTGATGCCTTGTGCTCAAGTGTCAACTGAACGTCCTGCTTTGTCCAACAGAGTGAGTCTCTTTTCTTCACTTGTGGTCTTCTTTCAACAGTGGTGACGTCTGTTTCTCTTGCCAGAAAGGCGCTATTGACAGCCTTACTGTGAGCCCGTGTGACAAGGCGCCGAGTGACATGGAGTGCTAGGTAGAGGTAGGACAAGGCTATGAGGGGACAATTGAGGCACAACCAGTTATAAATATAGACGGTGACAGTCGTGCTCTGGGCGACATGGCGTTGATGATGTCTTGATAGGGAAAGTGGCCGCAAGGCTGAGTTCAATCATGTCGAACAGCCTCGTCACTTGACACCCGGATCTGTCATTTCCATGTGTCGCACAATCCCCTGATATCATATGCCTCTGTTCTATGGATCGATCGGCTGCTAGAAACACTACATATTGGCATTGTGCAGTGCCGCGTGCCAACTATATCCTTTGTCTTCGGGGAAAATCGTGTTCCAATTGATGAGCTTCTCATTGGAGTCGCGAATGGTCACAGACCGCTGATTGGTGGGTGATATTCGATATATGTAGTGGCGTGGCGTCTCACACGAGGCTTCAGGCGGAAAGGATTCCACCTACAGTATACGATACGCATCCATGGACTCGAAGCGTTGTTCAAGGGTGACCTACAGGATAGGACACTCAACTTCATAAAATGGTAGTCGACCCCAATTATTATTGTATTCCTGCGCTCTGCAACTGCTCAAGACACCTAGTCGCCAAGTGCCCTTGATACTGACTATTTGATCCCTCTCAAAAATTTGAACATTCATGATTCGTATTTCTTAATTTCTTCACTGATTCATCCTTCCATCTCCGCCGGCGCTCTCGTTTTCAAACGAGAGCCGTCCTTCTCAAACACCGGAGTGGAGAAGATTTCTGCTCTATCGGGCTTGGACTCTGCTGGAAGCAGATTGTCAGAACCGGTTCGGAGTTGTTTACGTTTGTTCTGACGCCGACGAACAAACAAATAGAGCAGCCCAAGCAGCATCGAGACAGCTACAGCTGTAGCAATGCCTACACCTGCCTTGGCGCCAGCGGAAAGAGAATGTGAACCTTCAGATGCGATGGACGAGGGTGTGGTACTTGAGGAAGCGATAGTTGTTGTTATCAATAACGAACTCGTGCTGCTCGCAGAAACGGTGGGAGTGGGACTGGCCGAGATGGCGGCAGTGGAGGTTACAGGTAAGGTGTCGTTGTTTGCTGCAAGAAAGACTCCTGTATGATCCGAACAGCAGCCACCTTTTGTGCCGACACACCAACTACCGTCGGTACAATTCGATACTGTCGTGTCTAGATAGATATATACTTTAGCACTCAATGTACGCAAGAGATGGGAAATCGCAGCACCATGTTCCATACGTACCTCCAGTTATGTTGGTGAACAGCTTCACGCAATTGGGATCGGTAAAATCTGGATCAGTACAGCTTTCACGCCACCAGATGTGGTACGCCTCGTTCCAGCAAAGACCGTTGGGCATACATGTGTCCCAGCTGGCGCAGCACATTGACACCGTGCCGTCTGTCGGGTTGCATGGTTGATAGGTGCTGTTCTGGGGGGTCGAGTAAGGGCCATTCGTATCTTCGCCGGCCGGTGTGTAGCACGTCTTGGATGAAATTGCGAGCCGAAGCAACAGGGAGAACACCATCCAACAGGCTTGAATAGCCCTCATCTTTCTGCACGTAGAGTGAATGTCGTGGCAAAAGTGGGCCAAGAAATCCAAAGTTAGTACGGGGATGTCAACAATGAAGAGAGATTCTGGTGCAGAGGAGGCACACGGGTCTCCTTAGGGGGATAATAACAGATTTCGAACTCCATATTGGCAGTCCCTCTACACAGGCATGAGCCCAGGACGTTCGCGGCTTGCCCCTCGCTCGATCTCCAGAGGCTTCACAGATAGGGTTTCCGCCCCATTAGCGGCAGCAGGGGTCGTGCCTTGTATTAGGCCTCCTGCAGCCCGTGTGCCCCGGTGCGCAGGTGCCTTGTTTGCGCCTTATTTCGCGTAGGATCAAAGTCAAGCTTTACCAGGCGAACCGTTGATCCGAACCATGATTCATGGAGTCGACAAAGATCAATCTAGCCCAAAAGTCCTCACCTTGTGAGCGTGAATCAAAGTGATTCAGAAGGTCTTCTAGGCATTAATCCGGTGGTGGGACGTTGAAGAGGTCTCGGATCACGTTTGACACATATCCGCGTCTCATGCATGCTCTCATGCATGTGCCTGCAGCAAGTTTCGACCAAGTTTCGAGAGCCTGTTGATCGATCAGGGACTGCTGTTGAACAACTCATTCCCACGGCACTTTCACCCTCATACGGAAGTATGGCCGTTAGCTAGGCTGTACTCCGTACCTCTCATCTTCTGTAAGCTCCTCGCTGCTAACAACCAGTGGTTAATGAGCAGACGTTTGTGTTCGGACGGGTTTTGTCGCAGAGCAAAGGTTGGCGATTTACCAGGTTCCCCTAGCACCCATCTGAAACAGATGTCTCGTTGAAAGGCAGGGTTGTACGACTCCGAGAGGCTTGATTAGGCGCTCAGTGGTGCGCAGCCAAAGGCTCAGCCAAAGCTCATGTTAAAGCCTTCGCTCACCCTAGGATTGACCCGTAAATGTTGATAAGGTTCTTCGTTCTCGAGCAATCTACAAGTAGGTGGTGAAGAAAGAAGACCGTTGATGCTGATGGTGGTCGCGAGATGGATACCTGGAATGGAATAGGTTGGTGCCAAGAAATTCTAGGCTATTCCAGATATAGAATTCATGGAACAACAATTCTCCGGAGGATCTATCTACTTTTTGAGTACAAGTGCCTCGTACCTCGTCGTGTATCCCTCTTCCCACCCTCCGCTCCATTGATATGTGTAAAGAGCTCTCCTCATCCCTCTTCTCTCTTATTATGACTATGTGCCTTTTCATTCCTGTGAGTACTCGGACTGTGATTTCATATTACTACCATGTACTTGTGTTGCCTCCCCGTACCCATGATTCACAGCCCTAGACCGCTGAGCCCCCTGCCTTTCTACCTCTGAGAGGTACCGGTCTCTACGCCAAATCCTCCATCGTAACCAGTCCTACAATCTCGATCCATGATCTCGCTGACAGACTCGAGAGTTTTTGAGGGATTCCGATCGAGTCTAGGCATTGCCTGGACGTTCGGCTGACCTCGTACTTGCGTTGCGATCGCTCCGTGCGGCTGAGCTGAAAGCAAACTCGATCTTTGCTGTCACCTTGATTGGAACCAAACAACTCGCCCTTCGTCTACAGAAGCAGCGCCAAGACCAAAACAAGAATCACTAAGCTCGTGAAAGCTTCTGAAGCTCCGACGCCACAAGGGTTAGCTAGCCATTGTCGTTGGTGCATCGTGGAAACATGTGTCGGGTAAATGGCCCCTAATGTCTTCCTGGATGCTCTCAGGGCTCGTGTTCCTCGTGTTCATCCCGCGGTCTAGGTACCTAGGGGAATGAGGGAGTTTGTGCCAGCACGGTGCCAGCTCGAGCCCCCAGGTCGAGGGACTCATATACCGCACATCGTCCAGAAAATGGTCGAGGAGAGAAAAACGCTTTCACTATTCCAAGGTATTCGAATTTTCCGGGAACAAGCGGAGGTTGTTTTCGGTTTAGTCGATTCAATTCCGTGCTATTACTCATACGTGCCCGAGACGATGGTATCTGCAATGTCGCCCTTTCTGCCCTTGGTGTTCCTCTCCACTGTCGTTGTCGCCACGCATCTCCAGCCTCTCCATCCCATCGACCTCTCTCAGGGTTACACGCGCAGCGTACGCAATTCTAGCCAACTGAGAAGCGGTTTCTTACATTTTGACGGTCTGTTCCAACGAGATGACTGTGACCCAGCAGACTCGACGCCTTGCCCCGGTACGGCTAACGACCACCACTGTTGAACCCTTGAAGAGCTCTTCCATCTGTCTCGTACTCAATCACTAACCCGGTCTAGATGGCTGCTATGTTGGTGCCAACGCCGTATGCTGCGCCAACGGAGGCGCCGTGCCCCAGGGCGATGTCTGCTGCGACGACAGTGCCGGCGGCGGCTGCGCGATCGGTCTGACCTGTGGCTTCTGCGACACCAAGGGCGTGTGTTGCAGCGACGCAACCTGCGCTGTCCTGGTCGACACGGATGGCTCGTCGGTGACGCTCGGCCCGGATGATTGCAAGGCGACAGCAGGAAACACGGTGGCGTCTGTCGCAACTGTCGGCGCCGGAGGTACCACAGCTCCCACACCCACGCCTACACCGACTCCAGGCATCACCGAGACAACACCACTACTTCCCTCCACAACCGAAAACCCACCGGCACCGCCTACCACCACGACGGAAGCACCGATTCCCACCTCATCGGCATCGATCCCGACCGTCATAACAGTAATCGTCACGACCTCCAGCACTAGCACCCTCCCCCCAACCCCGGCGGCGACCACCAGCACCGAAGTCGTGTCGCCCCCGCCCGCAGCCACGACCGCGACGGTGACTCAGGTCGCTGGTGCTGCACGAAAGGGTTTCGAGAGCCAGGGGGCTTTTGCGACGGCGGCTGTCGCACTGGCGATGGTGGGCGTGCTGGCACTGCTCGCTTGAGACACATACCTACAACAACGCCAATAACCCCTTCCTCTGGGACTGATCGACGAAAGAAAGAGCAATACCTACAGCTCTAGGTAACTACTCTGTAGTAAGTGTTATGCGACGGCAAGGAGTTGTAATGTGATGCTTTTTAAAGATGTCATCCCAGGTCATCGGGTTTGTGCTCTGCCCTCGCAGGCTTGTCAGGACAGCGATAATGACGACGACAATATGACAAAAATATGGATGGATGCGTTTACTGTTGAACATATGCCGCTTGATCAATGACCAATGACCAATGACCATATCGTCACCCGGGTTTTCTGCTTCTGTTACTCTTTTCTTCCGCCCACCCAATGCCACCTCAGTAGTGGGATTCACCTATCACCTCTCCCTCTCCCTCTAAGCTGGAGCGATGAGCGATGAGTGGTGACACGATCCATGCCTATCTCATCTCGTCTCATCTCATCTCATCTCATAGCTCATCCACACGCCGGCGACTCATGAAATCAGTAGCTACGTATATACCCATATTGCGCCATACCGCCATACCGCCATACCGCCATACCGCCACGGAACATCTTCACGCAGAGGTCAGAAAGAGCCCACATGACGCCGACGCCATCTATTACTTGTACTCCGTACTCTGTACTTGTATGGTGGAGTCGAAGTCTAGTCGAGTGGGGGCAGAGCCGAATTGAATTGAATTGAATGGGAATCCACCTAACGCCCAAAGACTTGGTACATACGGTACATACTTGTACTCGGCACTAATAAAATAATGCGGAGCCAGAACATAAAAGTCGCTTCGGGTCCTTAGTAAGCATGCCTACCGCCATGTACACAAGTACACTAGCAGTTAAGTACGTATACGAGCATGCGTTTATGTCAGCACATTTGGTCTGGTTCCATTGGTGGCACTGGTATTACTGTACCATCATGGTCGCCATTATTTATGGTGCGATGTCTTCGGAATATTCATGACTCGCTCAGGCGAGCTTTGCATGCTCTCTACACACCTCCTATCTACCTACATGGGGATTCTGTGTGCCCATTGACTTGGCGTTGACTTGACTTCTCGTGCGCTTCTGGTCTTGGTTCTGGTTCTGGTTTTGGTTTTGGCCCGCCAGGCTACTCTTCTAGGTATACCTGTCCTGTCGTCCTGCATTGCTCATGAGCTCAAGCACAAGCCCATAGAATCTACTCTGCCTCCTCTCCAACCAACCTCACGGAGCTGCATGGCGAATGATGACCCCGTTGCTAAGAGCTGGTTCACTGCGCACCAGGGAGCTTCGTCTGCCCTACTTGCCCTCGCAACGAACCCCTAGTCTAGGGAATGAGAAGATGCCTGAGTATACCTTCCCCCCTAGTTCATAGGTCAAGCCCAAGGCCAAGATCAACGGAAGAGGGCATGTACATAACTTCACGTACGGAACAACCGTTCCCAGTATCGACAGTACCAATACCCCAGAGATGATGTACGCCTCAATATCCATTGGTGGCGAGGTGGCCTTGCTAAGGCCTTGCCATGTCCTTGTGAAATCGTAAGATCTCATCAAATCATTCTTCGGCGTTGCTGGGTGGACGAGCTTGGAGGATAGTATCGCCGCGGGCATTGTGGACTTGAAGTAGGCTGACAGTGGAAGGGCATATGATCCATGACCTTTGAGGGATGTGAAAGAAGATATACTGTTCCCATCCATACAAGTCCTCAGAATTCTGCCAGACCTCTACCCAGCTCTCCACATCGACCCTTCATATATTATTGTTGTCCATTTCCCCCCAACAATTCGGATGAAGCCGGACGGGGCCTAGGATCTCTCTCCTGTGCAATGCTACAGGAAGGAATACACCTAGTTGGGTGCTTCGGATGATTGTTACTCCAAAAAACCACCTGCTGCAAAAGCAATGGGAAAGGTTTCTCACTCCTCGTGCACACCGCAAAATAATGTGGATGAAATCGGGGAGTGAGTTTTTGCTCAGTTGAACCCTGGGGAATTTTGACCGTGGTGTTCTTTTCTTTCATCTTTGTGGGAGCCATCTGGGTTGACTTGAAATATTTCGCCTTGGCCGTTGAAGCTGCCACTCTCTGCCGCACCACGAATGGCCAGGAAGGCCTCTGCTCGTTGACAGCGAAATCTTTGCTTGTTGCACCAACTTGGCTGGTGTTATTTGGAGCAGATATCCTCCGAATTGCAAAAAGGGAATTTCATGCCCGAAAGTCATCGTCCCTCTCCCATCGTCTCCTTACCAGCTTCCTGACAGTACCGAATACATGAAACAAAATATCAAGGAAGTCAGTGCGCCTGTCCCTTCGGTTGTTTCGCCAAGGGGATGTTTGAGCCGGTTCGCGGTGGCTCCGAGCCGAGTCGGTGTTTGAGAAATCAGACGCCGACTGGGCCCGGCCTTGCTAGACGAGATTGAGGTCCTGGTGTAAATATATCAATGAGCGCTCCGATTCCTGGACTCTGCAAAGTTTGGTTCGTGCCTTTGATCTGTGCAGTCATCGATAAATTGGACGTCACTGCTCTCATCAGCTTGAAAGAGAATGACAGCCGGAAACTCCAAGTTAATTCTCTCCCGTGGCTGGCCTGAAAAGGGAGTATACAGCTGGTCGCCCTTCGTGACGAAGGTCGAATTCCGCTTTCGACATGCTGGCCTGGCTTACGATGTCGAAGCAGGGTCAGCAAAAGTTGCGCCAAAGGGCAAAATCCCTTATGTGGATCTCGGTCCTCTCCAGAGCGATGGCCACAACAGACCCTCTCTCTTGGGAGACTCGACGTTGATCATCCAGAGGCTACTGAGCATGGGCTGTATTCCAGATCTGAATGGGAGCTTGTCGGAGCAATTGAAGCTAGAAGATCTTGCTCTTCGTGCCCTGCTGGAAGATAAGCTGTATTTCTACCACGTGAGTAGTTTTCCACGTTTTGGCCATCTTCCGGGAGAATTGACACTTCTATCAGATGCGCGAGCGGTGGCTCGAAAATTTCTATGTCCAAAGAGACAAAGCCCTGTGGTCGATGCCGTTCCCAGTGCGCGTACTAGTTGGGTTTCTCATTTATCGAGGTGTGACGCAAACATTGCATGGTCAAGGAGTGGGACGCCTGACCAACGACGAGGTGCGAGTTTTGAAGACGGAGATCTGGCGATCGATCAACCAAGTCCTCAGCATTCGTCTGCGGCAGGTTTCAGCCGATGACGAACCTGTCTGGCTGCTTGGGGGCGAGCAGCCATCGGAGGCCGACGCGACGTTGTTCGGCTTCATAGTGTCTGTGCTTGTCAGTGACAGGTGGGTATCCCAATCTTGTATAGCCTCGCAGGCTCTTATTGATTTCGTGCCTCAGCGCTCCAGAGTCAAAGACACTCGTAAAAAGTTTTGCGAGTGTCGTCAAGTATGCGGAAAGAATCCACAGCCTCTACTTCCCAGAGTATGAGAAGTGGACTTGAACAGTCAGTCGACGAGTGCCTTGGAACCATGCAATCGGTCTAAGATATCTCGAGAATTGGAAGACAACTAGTGCAATGTTCGTCCCTGATATCCAGAGAATTCGTCACCGGATAAGAAGTGGAGAGATTGGAAGCGTTACTTGTCCGCGTCCAAGGCGCAGCCAAGGACAAATATGGAGGCTTGAGACTTGCACCACTATGCAGAGGAGCTAGAAGCAACGCATAAAACAAGTACTGCCAGTGAATTTGAAGGTCTATTGTGCAGATATCACACCTTCCGCTCCCTGCTCGCTGTCTTTCTTCGCGACTGTTGAGTTATCTTGACTCGGGTCCATCGAAGTCTGGATCTTTCTCAAAATCCTCGCAGGATTGCCGGCCGCTACGTGAAAGGCAGGGATGTCCTGTAAAGAAGTCAGATGGGAAATTTTTGTGCAAGAGTAAGGAGAGCCTCAAGCTCGCTACCTTTGTCACTACACTTCCGGCTCCAATGGTGCTGCCTCGGCCAATCGTCACTCCGGGCAAGACAATAACGTTCCCTCCCAGCCAGCAGTCTTCGCCAATGTTTATCTCTTTTCCAAGTTCGGGACCGTTGGTTCCATTCCTAACCGCCGGGTCAAGAGGATGGGTCCCAGCATAGAAGCTGCAGTTCGGTCCAACCAAGGTACGAGCGCCAATGCGGATGGGGCAGGTGTCAATGAAGGTCGAGTTGAAATTCAATTGAGCTCCCTGGCCAAGAAAGATGTTGAAGCCGTAATCAGCACGGAGTGGACCGCAGATCCAAGGCTCCTTTTCGAACAGCCTGTCGTCGTCTACCGACGATGGCTGCAGAGGTGGCAGGGGGCGGGTGTCGTTAGTAATCCTGCAAGGCAGACATGAGACTATACCCCAGGAGGGTTTTGTATATGTGACCGATTTTGCGTCGACCTACTCTCTCCACATTTCGATGATTCGGCGCCGGGTTGTGGATTCAGAGGAATTCAACTTATCACAGGCTTGCTTACATCGGTCTCGAGCTGCGATGAGTTCAGGGACAAAAGCATGATAGAGCTCGCCTCGTTGGGCTTTCTGCCACTCTGGATGATCACACATGGTTCCAAAATAGCCCAACAACAAGAGTTGGAATGGCTGATGGAGAGGGAAAAGGAAGAAGATGGCATGGGCCCGTCAAGGAGATAATCAGAGAAACCGGGGCCGGAAAATCATTGATGCGAAAGAACATGCCGAGCCTGTGGCGTGTTTGGCGTGTTTGGCAGATTCTTCGAGGAGAGTCGGATGACACAATTCTGCAGACGCTTTGAGCCTTTCGACAACCCCCTTCAGGCGTTTTCCTTACTATTGTTCTTTTCAAGTAATGCAATTCTCTTTGATCCACTCATTCTTTTGGCTTATTTGAAGATGTCATTTGTGCAAGCTCCCAAAGTGTGGGCATTTTAATTTGTACGATCGCCAGGACAACAACCCCTTAAATAGCCACATCCCAGGTGTCCTCTATTCCGCCTATTAGAGGTGTCGGCATTTGGAAAGCATGTCGGACTCCTCAGCGCCCAGTTCCCCAGGGATTGTCCATGAATTCCCCAGAGATCGGATTCAAGAACACATCAATGGTAGTACTCGCGCGAATTTGCAGCCCATGTACATCCCACCGCAATACCTGCCGGGAGGCAAACGGGCACTATCAGGGGTTGCGATTCGCGCCTTTGGGTTAGGCATTGCGCTGGGCATTTCTACAATCTTGACCGTGGAGTTGGTGTATTGTGGTTATGGACTTTGGAGGGCACCATGTTTTGTTGCAGCACTGGCCCTGTTTCACTACCTCGAATTTGACATGACAGCACGATACAATCCTCCAGATGCCTCAATCTCGTCTTTTCTCTTACTTTCAAACGGTGTTGGGTATGCGGCTGCCCACTCTTCGGCCATGCTTGAATTGCTGGTTCGGTACTGGCTGTATTCTCAGTACGCCCCAGTCTGGCTGAGTCTGCCATTCCAGGTCCCAAGGATATTTCCGTCAGTTCCATCCTCAATAACTGTCGGGTTGGGCGCCACTTTGATCGTCCTGGGACAACTTGTCAGAAGTGCCGCCATGCGACAGGCAAAGACAAACTTCAATCATGTTGTCCAGTGGACCAAGAGAGCAGACCATGTCCTGGTGACAGACGGAGTCTATGCCTTCTCCAGACATCCATCCTATTTCGGATTCTTCTGGTGGGGGTTGGGAACACAAGTGCTGCTAGGGAACCGCATCTGCTTTGTAATATATGCCGTGGTATTGTGGAAGTTCTTCCACCATCGAATTACTCGTAAGTCGCTGCTTCATGCCTCCTCCATAGCTCGATGTGCTAATGGTTTCGCTCACAGATGAAGAACGGCATCTGGTTTCTTTCTTTGGTGAAGACTACATTGAATACCGCAGACATGTCCCCGTCCGGATTCCATTCATCCGTTGACGATGGCATCAGTCTTCCAGTTCACCAGCTTCAAAGCACTCTCAGCCGTCTCCGGGATTCTTTCGGTTCCGATTTTGGAGTGTGGCCTTGGGCTTGGAAACTGACTCGACTGTTTGGATGTTGACGGAATGGTATGTGGGCTTGGGTGTATGGTCTAGCCAGGGAACATCAACTGCGTCAACATTGTCTTGAACAAATCGTAAAAGTGTTTCAGCGCCAGGCGCTCCTTCCCCAATTCCGAGCACACCGACACGAGGCTGGTGCAGCGCTCGAGCAACCTGCTCTTCGGCTTGTGAAGACCATTCGACTAGTCTGGCCCTGGTGGTTGCGGGAGCTGAGGATGCTAACAGCAAAGGTATGGAGGAAGTCATTATGTCAGGCAGATTGCGGCGGCAAACAAAGACAACTGAGAGATTTGCAAACGTATGTCCCGGTGAAGAGTCGTCGTTCGTGTGCTGAGATAGCACTTTGGGCTTCCGCTGGTGGGCTAAGGATTCAAGCCTGCGGACCGTGGTATTAAATCCGAGAGTTAGATGGTCGTAAACATCAGGCATCCATTCTGGCATAGAGTCTTCTTGTATCTTCTTGTTTATTTTCCCACTTCTTCTTTTGCCCTTGGAACGCAGAACATGGTCGCGTCTGAAGTCGCCAATGGGCTGTAGTAGCCGGAGGAGGAGTTGTAGGAGTGCCTGCTCAGTGTCAGGAGAGATGGTGGGCCTGGCAAAAGAATTGGAGTTAGTTGGGTGGTAGACTACAGGAATGTTTTCCTCACTAGAGAGAGAGATATACCATTGTGGCTCTGGATATGGGAGGGATAAAGAATGCACAACTGCTGGTTTCTTTCGTTTGTCCATGCCCATCGATACTGGCAATCCACCCAAGAAAAATCTTTGTGATGGTAACTGACAAGGCGCAGGGGGGAGCATGACGTGTGAGAATACCAGGATTAGTTAGCAGGACTGGGAAGCCCCTCCATGCTTTCCATTAGCTGGGCAGCTCACGCGCCAGACGCGTTTTTGGTGAGTTTGGTGAATTTGGTGATGGTGGGACCGCCAATAAGCAAGTTGTGCCGGGTCCCCTAACAACTTCGTCTACTGTAAGTCAACGGCAGCCTGCGAGCCTTGGTCCCATCTCTGTCCAACGACCATTCGACTCACAAAAACCACCACCATCTAGACTATTTTCTCCTTCCTCTCCATCCTCAGAAAGAATCTACATTCTAAGTGCCTATCGGTAGAAATCTCCTGACTATCCAATATCCCCCTCTGCGTCTCCCGATCTCATGTCGTAAATTTCCCACCCCCCAAGACTAGCACCTGGGCCCCGCCTCTCATCACCACACGCTGAACAAAGCCTCTTTCCCGTGTCTCCATCCGTCACTCAACATCCCCTGGCCGAGAGACATGGCCCAAGTCGACATCAGTCAATCTCTACGAGATCGGCTGTCTATGCAGTGAAGACCCCCGTGGGCATCAGTTGCCAGCCGTTGCTCACCCTCTCCTGATCCGACAGTCATCCTGGTTTGCCTTGTCTCTGAGTGGCGGTCTTTTACAGCCTTTGCCAAGACCTCTCACTGCCTCACCTCAACCACCCCTTCATTCTCCGGTCAGTCTTGAATTCACCGCTCTCCTTTTCTTGGACGCGGACCTCGCGCTCCTGCGGAATTCCAGATGCAACTCTCGTAACATGTCGTCCTCAATGTCCGATTCTTCGATTCGCAACCGAAGCGACTCCACCGAAGGTTCTGAGCTGCCTGAGCACGAGCACAAGCGTCCAAGGCTGAGTGATACTAAGCCTGATGGGACGCATGTCATGTCGGATTTCCAACAAGACAATTCCAACCCCGCACTTTCAGTGCCAGTTGTCCTTGCCAACCGGGATGAGGAAAGAGCTGTCGTCAAGACTCCGCCGCTGCCTCCCAGAACTGTAGCCCCTCCCGCTCTCATATCTCCTACCAGCAAGGTTACCATCAATACCCGCCCGTTGTCTTCACAATCAATCACACAACCAACCACCGAGGCTGAAGCAGCAGATATGCCGTCCAATCCCTCGCTTCCTCAAAACCCCATTGGTTGTGCCGACCCAAAGGGAGATGACAATGCGGTACCTGCCCCCGAACCACATCCGACTGAGTCGGCGGAGATCATCTCGATATCTTCCTCCCCAAGCAAGAGCCCTGAAATCGAGGTCGCTGAGCCTGAAGACTTTGACCAAGATCCAAACCAGACAAGGTGGACGGGTCGTATTAGTGGGGGAAGTCCATCCGCATCTGACCACCTGCAGCCGGTCCCAGCTGGCTATGTAAATCGCACATTCCCCTTTGCTCAAGAATGGGCCCCAGGGAGTACGCATAGAGTGCTTGTCCGCATATCGGAAAACTTCCAACACGCTGGTGGTCAGAATGGGGCTATATTCCGTCAAGTCAAGGACTGGATGATGGAATTTGTCTCCATCTGTGACGAGTTCCCCCCGACACTGCTTGAAGAGGAGAAGGATTTCTGGCAACGACTCCCAGATCTCATCGAAGGCCTGCTGCGAAGAGAGGCCGGTCCACCTCCTGGAGCTCGGACCGAAGACCTCGTCGACTTCTTCGTCGCCTTTGCTCAGATTGCCAAGCTCCTGATGGACTTTGACACCCAAAGACTTCGTTTGCTCCGTGAGGATGCAGAACTCGGCGAGCTCAAGTCACTCAGCTTGGTGTGTGCTAACTACATACAACCACTGACATGGATCCTCTCGGTCCGCATTCCTTTCTACGACGCTTTGTGTCGGGCACACAGTTTCGATCGCACCCACTTCTACACGCTCGTCATCGATCGCCTTGGAAACCCGGCGACCGTGTCTCTCTTACCATCCATCTCCGCCTTGATGGCCGAAATATGCGCTCTAATATCGAAGCGAGCTGATCTATTTCGACCTTTCCACAATTTGCTCTCGGTGACCAACTGTATCATGGCTCCGATCTCCAATGTGTACAGTACCGAGACAAATTTTGTCTATGCCGACTTCTCACAACTTGACCACATCCGCAACAGCGCTGCGGAAATAATTTTACAAGCAGACCATGCCATTCAGCAAGCCATTGTGAAACAAGCGGCATGGCTCAATCTAGAGACCGCGGGGAAGATCATTGACCTTCTGAATCCAATGGTGTCGACAATCGCGGTAGATATCCCGCAGATCGGCAAGGACATAATATCTGCAGCAGGAGTTGGGTTCGCTGACTCGGATCTCACTGACCTTCCCAGCACGATGCCATACGCCTGGAAGTTCAAGACGCTTCGCAAATTCATCACCAATGGGCGGATGGAACTTCGAGTTTCCGGCGTCGACAGTATGTCAACTGATCTTGTTCAAGTCTTCAAAGAACATATCAGTGGCCAAGCCCAGCCTGCAATGTCTCACCCCCTGGTAAAGTTCTTGGTCAAGTTCATCAAGGAGAACCAATTGGTCGACTATATTGTCGGGGTCGACTCCCACCCCCAGTTGATTCGTCGAGCCCATAATGTGGTCGGTTTCCTCTGCGTCTCTGGGACATACACCGACGCCGACACAGACAATATCTGGAAAACCATTGTCGAGAGCCAAGACCCGCGGACGGCGCATGAGATTTTCAATCTCCTTCAAATGTGCTTTACTGTATACGACCTTCATGCACTTTATTACATCTGCCGAAAACTATCTGATTATCCCATTCAGCGCTTCGATCTGCACGTCTTGCAGTTCACTGCTCTTCTGTTTGAGAATCTCAGAACTAAGACTGGCATATCACCTCTCCATCTTGGAATACCCACAGATCCGATAACACGAAAGTTGTGCATACGATTGCTGCGCGAAGCCTCCATGGAGGAAAACGCGTCTCTTGAACAAGCGCCGCTCATACGGAGGGACTTTGCCCAACATCTGACTAACGTTCTGTCGTTGGGTCGCTCTGAACTTAATTTTCCCACGATTGACGAGGAAGAGCGGAATCGGATCATGTCCGAGGCGGCTTCGAACCTCGAAGCCCACATTGAATACGCCACTGGTGATCTTCAAGCCTTGAACTGCCTATTACCAATGCTGGGAGGTGAAGGTGTTGCTGAAGCCACACAAAAGTTCAACTTGTTGGCACTGTTGATTGCCGACTTTGCGTACCTGCGTGACCAATTTGACCTGATGCTGGCTCGCAGTGTACCCGTCAAATTAATCGAGGCAATGTACGAGGTGCGATCCGCTTGCCTGTACTACTTCATTATCTATGTGCCTGAAGTCTTCACTGCAGATCTCGTGCAGGAACTTTGGACATCCTTCTATGCATTCTCACCTCTCCCCACATCCATCAGAGCTCGCGCTTGGGAGACATTGACACACGCAGAGAGAATAAAACAGAACAAGGACGAAAATCTCCTCTTGGACTTGATCATCGAAAAACACTTGCCGACCCTGTTACCCCAAGACTACAATGAACAAGTCCTCGAGTTCATCAGGGTGTCGATTCTCCACACAATCAGACGCACCACGGAAAATATCACTGATGTTGAGGATGTCATTGTAGTACCCGGGATCGAGAGAATGTGGAAAGTCATGTTGGATGCGCCTCCAAACACTGTTGAGAATCAAGCAACAGACTTCATCATCCGGACGTACTTGGATAACAACCTTGTCACGCGAAGGTCGAAGGAGGTGATCGACGCGACGCATGCTTCTCTCGTGGACCGCTCGGTGCAGCAGGTTATGGCGTCTGCAGCAAAGCTAAAATCATACACAGATGGTACCATGAGTGGCGAGGATGAGCCCATGGTGATTATCGCCTCGGAGGACGAAATACGCGCCGAGGAACTGCGTTTTGATCGGTCTCTGCTATTCCTCCGAAAATTTCTTGAAGGCATGAAACTACGTCCTCGGTATAGTCCAGTCCCCGATCAGCAGATCCAGGGGCTGGCGGAGTTTTCAGGCAAGAAAGGAGAGACTATTGAACTCAAGATTCAGATCATGGCAAGCAAGTATATAACGGAGAAGGTGCAAAATATCACCATCGGGTCCGAGAATACTTGCGACGAATTGCACAAGTATCTTTGTGAGGCGAGTGGTTTCACCCAGTTCTCCGTATTCAACATGGGCCAAAAGGTTTTGCTCGCAGGACAGTCGACAACTATCGCAGACTCAAAGGTAGCCTCTGGTCTCCTGATTGTTCATAAAACATTGAACACGCCAGAGAGCCCGCCAACCCGCGCCACGCGTGCCACCTCACCGGTTGACAACAAAATCATGCACCACTTCGATGACCTTTACGAGCTGCTTGACGCTGATGAGCGCCTGTCAAGAGAGGTGTACACATTCCTCAGCCTCTTCTCGGCGCAGACCGAACTCGTCCGAGTCGTACGATCAAGAGACAAGTCGCCCACGGAACTTCTGCCTCCTGGCAAACCTTTCAAACTCTTGTATTGCGCCCGGGCTTTGCGATCTTGCATTGAGGACGAGTCGTTCAGCTCAAGCCCGGATTCTCAATTTCTCATCTACAGCATTCAAACCATCGTGCAAGTACTGCCCAAACTGGACTTGAATAACCCATCAGATGGGCTCCAGATGTCCATTGCGCACGGTTTAGCGGAAGCACTTCTTCTCGCATTCCGAGCCAAGGTGTCCGCAGAAACATCAAGCGAATACATTGTGGACCATCAAGAATTCGCCGCGCAAGCTTCAAGATTGCTCCGCTTTGCACTAGAGAGTGACAACACCAACATGGACGAAATTTCGTCCTCAGCCATGGTGAAACTGGTCTTGGAAACTTTCATCGAAGCGTGCCTACATGATGAACGAATTTGGACTCACGTGGAGGCTGAAGCTGACTTCAAAGACTTGATTGTCACTGCCTTCGTCGCTGATCCTCGAACTGATGTGCGGCATTCGATCCTTGAGGTTGTGGTTGGTTTGACTGGTGCGGTCGGAACAAAGCTGTACCTCAAGATTAACAATCCACGAGCGCCACGATCACGCTTTCCACCCGCTTCCATTGAGACTTGTCTCTCACATTTGTGGACTGCTCTGGCAGACATCCTACCGTATGCGTGTCTGCAGCATGAGCGCTGCGCCGAAGTCTGCGAGACAATGCTTGCTATCCTAAGAAGGATAGGCAAATCTTTTCCTCTTGAGATTGTTAAACAGTACTTTGACCAGTGGATCTCCATCCTCCTGAAACATGAGCATGTCGAGGTTGTTGGCCAACCTCTCAAGGATCATGTGATTGCCTGTCTCACCAAACTGCTCCTCGAAAACTGCAAACTACTCAAGACGTTAAATGCGCTTCCTCCCGGCCATCAGATCATCGACGAGATCATTACGTTATTCCTGTTTCCACCGCTGTCCGAGAACGGGGCAGGGGTCGATGAGAACTCGAGGTTGCCAGTTCTGGACAGCACTGTGCGGGAGAGCTTGTATAACCTGATTCTTGCCCTGTGCCACGGACCGGAAGAGCTCACAACGGTTGTCACCAAGTTGGGGGACGACTTACTGCCTCCAGACTTTTTTGAACCCATCTATTCGCACGACCGGCAGAATCTCCGGACAGATGTCGGCTACGCCGGGCTACGAAATCTTTCCAACACTTGCTACCTCAACTCGTTGTTTTCCCAACTCTTCATGAACGTGCAATTCCGGGAATTCTTTTTGAACATGTTGGGCTCCGATGAATCGAAACAGAAACTCGTCTTAGAACTGGCAAAGGTCTTCGCATATATGCAAAATTCCTATGAAAAGTCTATCGATCCCTCGATGGCGGTTGAAGCGATAACGACTTATGAAGGAGAGCAAATTGACGTGTCGGTACAGATGGATGTGGATGAGTTCTTCAACCTGCTCTTTGATCGCCTTGAGGGCCAGATTGATTCTTCGGCCCGGGCGGCATTCAAGTCAATGTACGGCGGACAGCTGGTCCAGCAAGTCAAGTCGAAGGAGTGTGACCACATTTCGGAACGACTGGAGCCCTTCTCCGCTGTTCAGGTGGAGATCAAAGGCAAAGCCCGTCTCGAAGACAGTCTTCGTGCGTATGTCGAGGGAGAAGTTCTCCAAGGCGAAAACAAATATTCTTGCACTTCATGCGGGCGCCACGTGGATGCTGTCAAGCGAGCCTGTCTGAAAGACGTGCCTGACAATTTGATATTCAACCTCAAGCGGTTCGACTACGACATCATGACTGGGATGCGGACAAAAGTCAACGATGAATTCCAGTTTCCCGACACTCTCGATATGGCACCCTATACTCTCGCAAGACTTAGCGATGAGCAGCAATCCGGAGAGCCAGATTACTTCCAGCTCACTGGTGTCATTGTTCACTCTGGGACAGCAGATTCTGGTCACTACTATTCATTTATCCGCCAGCGGCCGTCGGCGAAACCCGTCCACGAGTCTTGGGTCCAATTCAATGACCAAGATGTCGGCGTTTTTGATACCACCCAAATGCGTGACAACTGCTTCGGAGGCACTTCAGAAGCCGGCTTTTACCATCTTCCCAAGTTTTATAGTGCTTACATGCTGTTCTACCAGAGGACATCGAGCATTCGCAAGGTCGAGGAGCGATATCGTTGCCACGACCCGATCAATCCTGTACGAATTCCCTTGCCGCGTCGATTGGATCAACACATATCCCAACAAAATGAGCTTTTTCTGCGTTCTTACTGCGCGCAAGACCCGTCACACGCGCAATTCGTCCAGAAGTTCCTCGAACGCATGCCACAGGGTTCGGATAAATGCAGTGAAAATCACAGCCTCGAATCCGCTGTGATTGAAATGGTTCTGGACTATTTGCGCTCAGTATCTTCTCGCTTCAAGGAACAACCATACTTTGAAGAGACTATCGGTGTTCTTCTCACTTACACACAGCAGTGCAAGGACTGCACCAGGACAATAGCTCACTGGTTACAAACCGTCCGGGTCCTTGAAGATGTGGTCGTCCGTAGCCCCTACCAGATCGTCCGGAAGTCGTTTGCGAACCTATTCTGCGTCACGTTCAATCGACTTCGCTCCGTCAAGAACGAACTACGATCTGGTCCGGAATTCGAAAAGGTTGCGGCAGAATACGATTTGTGGCTTCAGAGCAGTCTCAATCACTTGTCTCGATTGTGGGACGTGGTAGCCAAGACAGGTCGTTGCTGGACGGACTATTTCGGCCTCTTATTCGCGATACATCGGTTGGGCGAAGAGGAAACCCTCTTCGTCCTCGAAGAAAACTTCCTCGAAAAGTGTGTCGATATCATCATGATGCACTTGAACAATCAAGCCGAGTTCCCGTTGTCCAGGAGGCTCAAAACACGCTACGCTGCATATTTGAGTGCCCGAGAGAGGAATCGACCATTCAACCACCCGGTGCTCATCCGCCTCTTTGTGAGCTTACTCCTGAGTGTCGACCTCCACTTACCTGCCAACAGAGATTTTCGCCAATATGACAAGCGAGCCGGTTTGACTGTTCCTGAGATGGACATGCTCGGGTTTAACAAGATTCCCCCCAACTTGGAATGGCTCAGGCGCCTGATTGCAGGACGGCAGAATCCGTCAATGGCGGATAATCTCATAGAGGTGTTCTCGACGGACCGGAGACTCGCTGGTGCACTCTCCATCATCCTGGTGAATGGGCTCAATGACCGGAGCATCAACATAGCCAGTGCCTTCCTCCGGCCAGTCCTGACCTTCTGCGAGTATTGTCACTCAGAGAATCAGGTATTCGACCTGGTTCAACCCGCCCTGGAAAGCATCGCGACAGTAGGCGTGGAATATGCCCGGGAGTATTTTGAGTTTGTTGAAGCCTTGTTGAAGGTGGAAAATGGCCACCTTAACCTTCCCGCGGGTTTCCTCGAGGACCTGGTCCTGCAGACGGTGCATCAATGGGCGCCAACGTTCTTGATTGCACCCAATGAAGGTCAATTCAACATCCGTCTTGGGACGGTGGACTTGCTCAAGAGGATCCTGTTCACCCCTCTCCAGGAGCCTGCTCTCCAAGACCCTCGAGTTTACTCGACACTTGTCACGGCGGTGCACGATTTGGCGACTAGCTGTTCCCACTTTGTGCAGACCACCTTCTTGAATCCCCGCAGTCGAGAAAGTAACACTCTCCAGCCCGGCCAAGTCAGCCAAGTGATCGATGTGGTGGAACATTGTCTCACATACTTTGAACTCGAGAATCCAGTACATGAGGAGAAGATGAGGGAAATCCAGAACAACATGCTGGCATTGAGAACCAAAGCTGAGACAGCAGTTGAAACTCTGAGCTCGGCTGACTGGCAGGACGGTAGCAGTGAGCTGGCCGAATTGAGCGCCGAGGACTACGAGGATCCGCTTAGCCCGTGAGATCATTCGTATACAACCCTTCTGGCCACGCACGAATTTGAGCGGCAGCAAGCAATGGCCCTGGCGAAGCCTTCGACATCATTGAATGGAAGAGTCCTTTCGGAAATACCTTGGGCGTGCAGGTTGGGCGTCGATGGACTGATTGACACGGGATAGCGAAAGAGTAATGCTTTGGGAGGACCAACACGCGGGTCTCCCGATAATGATGATGATGCATGATGAAAAGAAAAAGCAACCAACCCTGCTTGAAGAGTTTTGATGGCGCATGGAGCAAAGTGGTGAAGATGGGTATGACGGGCACAACATGGTTGAGTCAATTCAGGTTCCGGGCGCCGTGTGAGGATGATTCTAAGTTGGGAGCAGCTTAGGCGCATAAGCAAGGATGAATTGGTGTTGCCCGACTTCAACGCACGCGACTGGAAGAAGGACCTTCTGCTTTCTGGGAGTCACGCCGGGCCGTCTAATAGAAGAGTTGTGGAAGCTGTTTGAGGCGCCAAAGGACGAGGTGCAAGCGACAGACTTGGTTCTATTCTTCTTCGGGAGAACGTGAGAACACGACAGGGAGAAGAGAGCCTCGACCACATCAACGATGAAGGCCAATGGCTCCTCACTCACCTCTTCGGGTATTTTGCTATCAAATTCAGGGGCAGGGAAAAGATGGGTGGGAAATTCAGTCTGGTATTCATTCATTAGGGGATCTTTCTGGTACTGTCATGACTTTAATGAGATCAAATGATTAGCGACGATCGAGTTCATTTGTCGGGATATTTCTTTCTTCTCTATCTCAGTGTCCCCTACCCCATCCAGGTGCTTGTTGTTGTGTCGTTGAACAACAATGAATGACCAGCAACAAGTATCTTCTCTTGACGCCCCCATTGTTGTGCAACCAACCCACAGCCCTGTAGTGTACGATATACTCCATACAAAAGCCCAGCTCTGCCCCCTTTCGCCCCAAATCCAGGACGCCCAACGCTGGATAACGTGCAGAGAAACGCAGCGAGAAACTCAGAGGAGACAAGACAGACAGATAGAAGGACGCCCCAGTACCACACCACCAGTCGAGTCGACTGCATTCGATTGCTCCGTCGTAAGAAAGGAAAAGCCCATGCTAGGAAAACAAGAATCGACGGGTAACGGGTAGTGAGAGAGTCGACAGCCGTCGTGATCGTAAAGGTTTCATAAAGTCTTGACTCTCATCCACTCGCCCGTCCCGACTCCCAGGTTCAGCCCGTTGCGCGCCCACCACTCTCTGACTTCTCCTTCGCCGCCGCCGCCGACCGCATCTTCCATGGCCTCCTCAATATCGCACGTCTTGTACTCGACTCTCAGGCCCGTCTTGCGACTGATCTCCTTCCACCATTGCAGGACGCCGGCATGGCCATTCTTTGTTGCCCCGACGAGGACTTGGTTGTCGAAAATCATCTTGCTCCCTTTGAAGCGGTACCACAACTCGAGCACGGGGACGTGGCCATGTTGGGATGCAAGCCGCGCGACACCGTCTTCGTGTGCATACGGGATCCCCGACGTTTCCCACCACTCAATCGAATTAGTCCGACCACTCTGCGCCGCTAAGAGGATGCTCTTGCCGACCTTGAGCGGCATTTCGCGATCGGTGCCCGCCAATTTCAGGGAATTCTCCTTCCACCATTCAAGCACCTCGACGTGCCCTTTGGCGCTAGCTGATTCCAGTGCCTTTTCTGTGTATGTGAGTTTCAAGCCCGAATTGAGCCACCAATCTAGCACCTCGACGAATCCGGCGCGCGAAGCACCGTCCAGTGCTTCAGGACCGTATTCCTTCTTGATCACGGCAGGACAATCTTTCCACCACTGCAAGATCGTCGGGGAGTTGTAGATCAAAGACGCTTTGTGCGGCAGAAGGGCCAACCCAAAAGACGTCCAGAATATGTCCTTTTGATGAAGAGCCAGGTATGTGAGGAGGTCAGTCATAGAAAAGCGAAAGATGAGCCGGGTCGCAATTGGTGAGAGGGTAGTTGGAGGGTTCGAGGAGGCTTTGGTGGTGAAATATTTTTGGATTTGGGATATAGGTTGTGTGAGGATGGTGTATTCGAGCGAGGGAGACTTGGATGATCCTGGCGATGGGATGAGCGTCTCCCACTCGTGAGGCACAGGTAGGTGTGTGAAGATTCCTAGGGCGGTGGCGAGTTCCCAGTCACCTAGTGAATCCAGAATCATGGTCCAAATCTCGCTGGGTAGTCGAGGCTTGGTAGAAGCAGATTTGGCGAGTGGGAGATCTGGAATGGTCGAGTTTGTCTTGAGATAAGTGGCCCGAAGGACTGATTGAGCTTCGCTCTCGATAGCTTCGATCATCTCCGCCGGTCCAGCCCATTGCCAGCGGAATTCTGGGTTGACGTCTCCATCCAAAGAGTTTGCTCCTGACTGAGCCAGGCTGGTACCATTCTCCGAGTACTCAAAGATGGCCGGAGACAGAACACGGACCCAGTCCCATTTTCTCCGCAATTCGTACAACTGCCTGTTCCAGATGGGATGTCTGTATTGGTCTCTGCTCAACTCCGGTAACAGGTCGATTCTCTTTGACACATCCCAGCATCTCAACACATGTAGAAGGACATCGGTAGTGAAGCCGCTTAGCATGAAGCAAATCATGCCAGCATCGATAGCGAGAAACATGAAATCGGCCCATCTCGCCAGACGGTGGCCTAACATCATAACCTCGTTGCGGTGTGGATCTTGGGGCTTGTTCTCTATCCATTGTACATTGTCCAAACTGACCCCCGGGGCCATATGCTGTTGAAATTCCGACTTTGAGAGTTCCGATATCACTCGCAGGTTTAGGTTGGGGTTGTGGAGGAGGTAGGGCAGCAGTTCTGGCCCTATTCTTTGGCTCACGTAGAGAAGAGCGTTGACCCGCCGACGAACCGGGCGAGGTTGTACTGGGCGTTCCATGGTCCGAGACAGTCTCGAGGTTTGTCGAGTTTCGACGGACGGAGGGGTGGTAGGACAAACGCGCAGTTTTGCCAGAGGGTGTTATAAGTCTAGTGTTCTGATCATTGGTGGCGAAAATGGTTTATCGGGATCGTGGCGGTGGGAGGGCTTCACGATAAGCGGCAATGTAACCCGGCGAGATGCGGAAAAGTTTGATGGGAAAGAGGCTTGAGATTCGAGTACTGTGGACTGGATGTGACTTGAGGGAGTCTTTTATCTTTCTTCGCAGAACCTGAGAAGGAAATGGAATGGGAAAATAAGTGGTTTGACATTCGTCAATTCATCGCAGACAGTAGGGAAAAAGTATGGGAAGAGGGGAAATTCAACTATGGCCGATCAGACCGTATGTGTGACCGCATTATTGGAGCCATGTGGCATGCTAGGGGCCACTTGATAGGCGGCTACCAGACCCGGCCCTGGTTCCTGTTATGTAAGTCAGCATTGGCAGCCTCTGGGAAGCCTCTGGCGATGGAGAGGCAGCGGGCTGGCCTCCCCTCAGGGCTTCTGGGGGTGGCCACCTCCACTAATCGTAATACCTACAAGTGGTACAAGGGGTTACTACTCTAACCATTCACATCACCATCAACACCACAATATCCATCGCCCATCATGGCCATCTCCGGAAACTCTATCCCTTCAGCCTGATGGAGGCACCCAGGCAGGACACTCACATCTCCTTCATGACCCTCTAGCTTTCGCCCTGAAACTGATACTTGCTACCAACAGAAGTTGAACCGGATTGAGACACCCTCTGACACCGAGAGAACTCTGTCGTCTTCACGGCCATGAGTTATCTGTCCTCCGCCAATATGCCCCTCACCGACGTTGCTTCTTTTGTGCAACACCTCCAGTCATCCACACGCATTGTTGCTCTCTTGGGGGCTGGTCTATCCGCCTCCAGCGGTCTGCCTACGTTCCGCGGTGCAGGAGGACTATGGCGCACCTTCGATGCCACCATGCTAGCCACCCCGGAAGCGTTTCAGCAAGATCCTGGTTTATCATGGCAGTTTTATTCTTACCGTCGTCACATGGCCCTCAATGCCAAACCAAACAGAGCCCACCTTGCGTTGGCAGAGTTGGCCCGTCGCAATCCCAACTTCATCACCCTCAGCCAGAACGTGGACGGTCTCAGCCCTCGCGCTGGCCATCCTGCTAGCCAACTCAAACTCATCCATGGCAATCTGTTTGATGTCAAATGCTGGGACGAAGATGGCTGTGGTTATTTTCGCAAAAATGACTTTACAGACCCCATCGTCCCGGCTCTGGCCCTGCCACCAGAAGCCCAAGATGAACAGCTAAAGGCAGCCATCAACCAAAAGAAGCATGCTCTCGTTCGAGGTGCTGACATCTCGAATGTTGATGTGGATATTCCCGCGCTCAAGCGTGAAGATCTTCCGCAATGCCCGTCGTGCAAGAAGAATCTACTTCGCCCAGGGGTGGTTTGGTTCGGCGAGTCACTTCCCGAAGACGTGATGCGCGATGTAAACGAATACTTTCAACAGCCTGGGAAGATTGACCTCATGCTAGTGATTGGAACCAGTGCAAAAGTATACCCAGCTGCCGGCTACACAAACATTGCCAGAGCCAAGGGTGCTCGAGTTGCGGTCATCAACATGGACCGCAGCGACGCACAAGAGCTCACAAAGCATGATTGGTTCTTCGAGGGAGACGCAGCCGTCATTGTACCCGAGATATTGAAGAGCGTGATTGGAGAGGTTGGGGAGTTTGAGGAAACGAAGGGACCAGTGTTATGAATGCTGGAGTCGTAGACGGTGAGTCGGACGACGACAATACGAGCCACATGTAACTCAACATACGATACCAAAGTCGTCGAGGGGCAGGCAACAGCGAACAAAACATCTCACCAGGGACAAGATTTCACCGTGCATTGAAATTCGGCCAGTCTAGAACCATAGGCGCTTGCAGGCAGCATATTTGCGGCTTTGGCCCGCGCCCTGGCTCGCTAGTTCGCGTATGCTTTGGCCGGAGAATTGTTACACATATCAATACGATTGGAATGTCAGGAGACGACAAAGACTCTATTCTAGTGCCGGCTTGGACCCGATTGCCTTGGCGGTTCTTTTGATGCTTTGTGGATCATTGTGCTGAGGGTACGATTCCGACGACTGGGGGCCAAAACCATGCACCACAAGTCCATCACAACCACAGCTCAAAGGTTCGTCTCGATCTTGCATGTCCTATCAAAAGCCATCGACCCTTGGACTCCAAGAGCCCTACGGCTGAGACCAGGCGAATCCCCTCGATCTGCCAATCATCCCCGAATATCGCTGTTCTACCTAGATATGCTTTCTTCAGGCAGTCTTCCTTTCCACCTCATTCGCTCTCGCCTTGCACAAGGCAACCAGCAGCCACTCGGACTATTCGAAGGCTACAACCCAGCCTAGGATGTTATGGCTTTCGGTGTGTGCGCTCTCTGACACACACTGCATGCTCTGCTGCGAAACCAAACTATGCCTCTTGGTATCCCTAGAGGGTTTGTTGTGAGTTGTCTCTTTGAGAGCCAAGCCCGGGCTGGAAAAGAAAGATCTCTTCATGGTATGTACCATAATATCCCATTTCACCCTCATGGTCGTGCCCACACGCTCGATCCTCGATCGGACTGCTTGTGAGGGTATCTGGGGAGCGCATCAGAATTACTCGCCCAAGTTGTCAATTTACTACCATGGCTTCTACGAATCCTTTCTGGTCGTTTGCCACCCCGTTCACGGACGGCATGCCCCACGCGCTTTCGAGACGACTAAGCTCTGTCCTAGACCATGACAGTCACATACGGATGTCTTCCACTGATGGAGCTCGAATCTATACCCAAACAACACCCGACTCAGCATGGTCCCAGGCGTCATTCGAGGAAGTGGACTTTACCTACAATCCCTCCAAAAGCAAGAATACGGCGCGCTTGGATGATGCTGCCTCTGTCCGGTCCGGCAGTTGGCCTCGTCGGTCTGGCAATTGGCCCCTGACTGAAAAATACTATGCGCTCTCATCTGCAACACACGATCTAAGATGCCCAAGATGGACGCTCTGGAAAGCTCTTCTTCTCCCTACCTCGATCATCATCCTGCCAATGGCCCTCCTTGTTGCTGGACTTTTAGCGCTCATCTTCGGCTACCGGGTCAGATCCGAAGACAGCTTGTTTGAAGAAGTGTCCAACTCTCACGCCTTAAGTGACCGGGCTGTTGTCTTGGTCAATTATTCAGCAACCCGGATCGCATTTGTCGCTTCATGGGCATCGACGCTTGCCCCTCTCCTTGCTAGCTTCATCATGAACTTGTCCAGCTTCCAGTCTGCCCTCCTCATGTATATCTCCTCCACAAGCCCGCAACAACAGGACCTCCCAACCCCATATCAGTACACGCTCCTTGTCGGCCTTTGTCTGGCCTCAATTGGCAGACTGGGAAGGTACTTCTCCTACGCGAAAGAGGATGGAGTCATCATTCCTCCAGCTCTCCGGCGCGCTGCGCAGACTCTAACATTGACCCTTGTCCTTGCCTGCATCGTCTTCGGTGCTGACACTGCCCTTCACTACACAACTTCAACCATCAACTTCGACCAAATATCTGTCTCACCTCTGTCCCATTCCTATGGGTACGGCTTATCGTCTACTTGTCTTGCCCTCAACCGCAGCGACAACTTTGGGCTACCATGCTCCCGTAACGGACAACTCGCCGCCGCGGATTACAACGCCTACGTTGCAAGCCAGAACGAGATCTTCTATCTTCAGCACGGCATATCCAATGTCAGTGAAGTTCGTCTCGTCGATATGCCATCAGACGAACCAGCAAACGTCACGTCATCCGGTGCCGCCAAGGTGGCTCTTCTCGTCCCTCGAAGCACTGGTTTGTCTCCGTTCCGTGACTTCCAAGCATACACAACTGGTGTAATCACGACTTGCGAACCCATTAGCAACCTCTGCAACTGGACAAGCGGTGGTCCGGGAAATTACTATAGCCAATTCAACTGCAGCGAGAACTTTTGGGGAGTGCTAGGAAAGTCACCCAATGTCAGTGACACCGGCATGCTCGTCGACGATAGTTCTGTGCCACCTTTGGGATTTAAGCGCGGTGCGGCCTTGCAATACTCATTCTACATGGACAAAGGACTGAGCATCAACTATGACTCGTCTGGCAGCCTGGGCCCGTTTGTGCCCGACCCGGAGCTCATTAACCCTGTGTATGTCGGGGTCGCTGCACGTTTTCAGTCCACTGCCCAACGGGCTGGTGTGAATATGTCCTCCGATCCAGGGATCTATCAGGGTCCCACGCCTTACCTTGACTTCACACTTCGATGCAAGTACACTACGTATCTCGTCGACTACAACTGGGTCAACTCTTCAGCCAAAGTAAATTCGCTGACTCCTTCTCCAAATGGCACAATTGCGGAGGTTTTCCACGGGTACAATATCTACGGCAGTTATGACAGCTTTGACAATGATCTCCAGGACTCTATGCTCGCGGCAGCACTACAGTCTAACCTGCAGCAGCTTGCTGATACGTTTGCAAACAGCTATTCGGCGCGCGTGATGAGTGTCATTGGCCCATTCCTCTCCGCACGTGCCAATCTGCAAGAACAGACTCGTACGCCGTTGCTTGTGGCCAAAGTGCCCAAAGTGCCGCTGGCGATCCTCATCGCGGGGTGCTTGTGCTATATCGTCTTTGGTGTCGTCAGTGCGACATTGGCATACGGTGCGTTGAGGGTCGTGGATGTACGGGACCTGGCGTTTCGATTCAGCCTGCCGGCCCTGGGGCTACACGCTTTCCGAGACGACAACACTGAAAAGGACGCCGTGGACGTGGACACAATCCGAACAGGGAACGGGGTCGAAGAGGAGCGCAGAGTATTCAACGAGACGAAAATAACGCGCGAAACCATGAGAGTCGCGGTCGAAGGCGAGCCCAGGACCGGCTTCGTCTTGAAGAGCCTGGTCTAGAAACACGGGCCATTCGCGATCTCTACGAAAAGACGGAAACCGAATTTTCTTGCTGGCAAGATCTTTTCGGCCCCCCTTCCGGTACGCGTGTGTGTGTGTATGTGCGCCGTGCGAGGAGGGTTGGAGACAAAGAGTGCTATATTCATTTCGAACTTAGACCTTCGCATCTAGACAAATTTTTTTTCCCCTTTCCTCTCGAGAGAGGTATTGTAAGGTGTTTTAGACTGTTGCTGTATAGTACTATACGCGTCGAATGTACATGATATGATCTGCTCTGCTCTAGATATCCAACTATTTATGCTTGAGCCTGCTATGCGCACGCATTGTGTGTGCGTGTGTGCGTGTGTGTGTGTGTTCGCGCGCGAGAAAGGAGGCCGATATATAGACGAAAAAAGCCCCAATAAAGAAGAAAAAAGACATGCGAAGGGTGGTAATCAGTACCTCAGCAAGTGGTTTGATGGCTTGTGCTCGTGTTAACTCGACACGCTCGAGGTTCTCGGCCAGCGGACGAGAAGAAGCCTGGTAAAAAGAGGTGGGGACGTAGGTAGGTAAGTCTCATACTGAGGATCGACCTTGTATTTCGTTCCTCTACCTGTAGTCAATCTAATCTCTATAGCTACCTGGATAGATAGGTAGGTAGGTGAGTATTCCAGCCAGCCAGCTGGCCATACATGCAAGCTACGTAGCTTGTTCATTCATTCATTCATTCATTTCGCTTTCTCTCCTTCATCAACCCCCGTGAGGACAGGGAGACCCTCTTCCAGCGGCGTCAAAAAGTCCTTGTTCACATTCACGGCTCCCGCTCGCGCTCCACCTCGGACACCAATCCTATTCATGAAGCCCGCGCCGAGCAGGATCTGCTCTTCCTCCAACAAGCGCGAGCCGTCTACGACGACAAACGTGTGGGCCAGCGCCTGCTTGGTCTCCTTGGGCCCGACCGTGACGCCTAGCGTGATTTCGAACGTCTTGGTGTCGTCGCTGTACGTGACTTCGTTGACTCGCTTCAACCCACGCACGAGATTCATGGTGATGAAACTGTCAAAGACTGTCAGGTTGATGGCGGCTAGCACCGAGACCGGATCTCCAGACGTGGTTGCCGTGACCATCGCAAGGACGTCGTGCAGTTTCTTCGGGGGCTCGCTGACGCGGGAGTCGGAGCCCGGAGTCGTGCAGCAGATTGCTTGGATGTATGCCGGGCAGGTCGGGGCACAGTAACACGGGCATGCTTCAGGGTGCTTTGGACGGCCCCAGAAATGCTCTTGAATAGGGAAGATCCGGTCGAGAAGGTTCTTCTGTATGTCATCGTCGACAAGGTGAGCTCGTTCCGAACGAATCGCGCCTTCTCCTGGTCCTGGTTCTGGAGAAGCAGAGGCAGGTGTAAAGCAGCAGATGATTTGAACATTTCTCGGGCACCACGACTCGCAATGGCAAGGACAGCCGAGTGGTGGACGGGGAAGAGGACGTCCAATACCGGGAAAGATCGGGCGAGAGATGAATGTATCAGGAGAGCCAAAGTTCCTGTCAGTGGTCGCCGGTGAACTGTCAAGCGCACAGCATCTCGGGTTACACCCAGGGGCACAAGTCAGGCATCTCGGTGAGCAGTCTGCATTGGCTGGGGCGTAATCGTCGACGATATCGTGCCATTTGAATCCGTTTTCCCACTTTTCCTTCCAATCAAAGTGATCTGCGATAAATTCTCGTCAGTAACATGGTCGCCAGTGGAGGACCCGAGAGACTCGCTTACCCAGTAGAGACTTGTACTTCTGGACTTTGGCAGGGTCAAGGGCTGTGACTCCAGCCGCGTTGGGAACAACATGCTGTGATGAATTAGCTGCATCGGCAGCAGCGAGAACTGTGTCGAACACGAGGAAGCATGTAGCAACCGTAGTCAGTATCCTAGTCAGCGCCATCACGACTCACGGACGTTCTAGCGGCTGAGGCAAGAATGAGGAGGAATTGGAGCAAAGGGAATGGGAGACGACAATGCAAGCGATGGCCTTGTCATTCTTATATGATCCTGACTTTTGTATCACCGCCTGAGCTGCCAGCTAAAAGCGATAGCCATTTGACGGAGTCGAGGCGTGGCTTTCGACAGCTTCGAAAAGGGGCTGGAACGTATCGAGCTTGCAGAGGGGCTTCTAGCCACTATGCCACCTTACTCTGTCGGGCTGCATAGATTTCTCACATGCAACGATTGGCACCATAACATCCAGAAGGCCCCCTGGGCGAAAAGAGGTGCCAAGGGCCTAGGTTTGGGGGCTGAGCTGTGCTTTTGGTGCTGGGTGCCTGTTTGCCTGTCAAATGTTGTCATTGCGAACTCGCCAATAATACGAGTAAGGCCGCCCAGCAAAAAGGAGGCACATGGCTGGCTGGTTCGTAAGGCGCAGTGTCTGGCCACAAGTGAGCTTCGACTAGCCCTACGCGCAGGCATCTGAAACGAGAGAACCATCTTCCTCTGCTATTCCTCTAGGACGTAAAGACTCAGGTTTGAGGACTTGTGCCCAAAAACAGAATGGATTTGATGAAGGTGGTAAGAAGGGATCGCAGCTGGTTAGGGACGCGCGCGATGGTATTTCTCGTGTTTCTCGCAAGCTTTGGACCAATCTTATGACCCCGATCTCAACTTGGCAGCCAAAGAGAAGTCAAAACTACTTCGAGCTCACGTGCGCTCACCACTTTCCTTCCTCCTTCCTTCCCATCGACTCCGTTATTACAAGTCTACACCTGCCATCTACCATTTGCCATTCTAATGCAACTTTTGCGTCCTAGGCTTCCATCATGGCGTCCTCGTCCTCGTCCCCGAAAACGTTTGCCTCTCCTCCATCCGAAACCTCTTCGCCGCAAAATACTATGCCTACAGGCGATCGCTCAGCGGGGCGAAATGTCTATATCTACGACTTGAATGATCGTACTACCGTAATTGGCGGCCTGATCCTCCAACCCGGTGTCACAAATGCCAACTTCTATGCAATGATAGAGATCATTGTTATATTCGAGGGCCCTTTCTTTCTACAAAATGAGAACGAAACGAAGATTGAGAAAGACGACTATCCACTTCAACCTGGAAATTATTACATTGTTACTACCAGTTCTTTTCGACTTAATGATGAGCCATGGCTTGTCCGGACAATTAGCCTAGCTACCGGAAGTCGCGTCGCTGCCTTCGCCGAGGCTGTTCGTTTACGAGATCGTCAATGTATTATATCTGGACGGTCTGTACCTTTCTTAAACGATATCTACTACTGGAGAAGCTTCGAAGCTGCGCATATTTTCCCACTCGCCTACGAAGGTTACTGGATTAAAGAGAATTACGGCCGATGGATTATAAGTCAACCAGTACAAGGGGGATCTATTAACTCGGTTCAGAATGGATTACTACTCAGCGCCGGTATACATCAACTATTCGATTCATACTCTATCTCGATTAATCCGGATGATAACTATAAGATTGTTGCCTTTGAGCCTACAGGGTTTGATTTTGTAGGTAAGCATCTCGATCGGGAGTTATTTACTCGCCCTGATGCGCCTATTGATCCACTTCTACGATGGCACTTTAGACAGGCTGTCCTAGCGAATATGAGGGGTACTGGAGAGCCGCACTTCGAACATGACCTCCCGCCTGGTTCTGATATTGTTGGTGAGATACTTCGGGGTCCGAAGTCAGGCGAAAGAATGGAATTTGAGCTGTTTAGTCGTCTCGGTGCTCAAATGGAGTTATTTCCGTCGGCAGCGAGCTTAAGAGGGGGGGCGGGGGAGACTAACCAATGAATACAGGGCGGCATCGTCGTCGTCCCAAAGGTGGTGAGCTCGCGGCATTTTTCAGGGGTCTCAACTTGGCAACTAACCAGAAGAAAAGATAGCTGCCAGCAGTGTGTGAAAAGGGTCAGGGGAGTTGATCAGGGTCACACGGCTGCTCCTCTGCCTGGATCCTGCGAGGGTTTTGGGACAATGTTATTCGCGATCGAAGGGACAGGGTAGACAGGACGCTCGTCAGTGGATGGTGGTGGTCTGTCGAAGCATGCTGGAAACATGGAGATAGAGATGAGAGAGCGAAGAACAGGAGAAGACATGTCAGTGCCTGCGGTGGTGCCGGGTCACCGGGTGAAAGCGCAGCACACAATTACGGCATAGAAGCTACACAATTCTTTCTGCAATCATTGACTTTGTGTCCGTCCTCGTCGTCTGAGGTTTGCCTATCTGCCATTGTCAATACGAATATGACGGCGGATCTAAGTGTTCCACCACCAGCTCTTATATCTGCATCATCATCCTCCGTCCTTGGCCGTGTCTCCCACGACGAACCGTCCCGCTAATTCCGCTGGTGCCTCTTGGTGCGACTCCCACCAATGTCTATCCACCAGGTAGACACTCGTAGGAAAATACGTCACCACAACCGCAGCCTTTGGGCAAAGAGAGGCCTTGGCATCGGCAATATGTCCTCGAACCTTCAAAGTTGCAATTCGATTGATGTGGCGGACAGAGGGTATTCATGTGAGGCCAACCAGGGGAGGAAAGATGGGGAGGGGACATTCCGAGTAGAGAGAGCCAGACAATACATGCGAAAGAACGAATGAATGTGCAATGAAGTTTGAGTATTATCCTCGAGATGCGGGATAATTGACCTGCAGATGCTCGCCATCTGTGCATTGCTAGCTTCCCTCTCCTCTACCCACAATCGCCTCTCTTGAACCATTGCAGCGGTGCGAAACAAAGACAATGATCAAACCAAGACAAATCCCTTACTGCACCAGCTAGAATAGTGTAAATCCCCACGCCATGTCCTTCCCAAATACCTGGGTATCATAGCGTCATAGAGTCGTGACTCGCATCATGATGGGCGTAGATGATGATGATAGGGTGGAAAGATAGAATGACAACCATACGATGTCCGAAGTGGAACACTAGCAGACAGTCGCTGCTCGTCGGTAACGGTCTCTTGAAAGCCCCAGATATTTGGCATTCCGCAATCTGTTCTCCAGGTAAAATCGCTCTGCCATTGTGAGGGCGTCAAATTCTTCAATGGATTTTAGGGGTAAAGAAGATATCGGTTGCGACTTGAGAGGATGTGCCAGCAGGAAGCAGCAGAAGACAACCACCATGCTCAGCCCAGCAACCAGTAGTTTCTTGCCGGAGATATTGAAAGCGAAAGTCAATATGATAGCTTGACATCTGTTGCTGAGGTACTGCGAAGCAATGCTGATTTTGTCGTAATGCTCTTCGATCAAGGATATGAGGCTTTCGAGGAACACTGGAAATGGTTAGCACTTCGAAGAGGCCCGAGACGAGGCGCATACCGTAGAAAGTCATCAGTATGTACGAATATGTTGGTGGCTTCCAGGCCGACAACAGTAAAGCTGGCATGGCAAAAAGTCCCAATAATCTCAAATGAAGGTGCTCCACGATCCGGGACGGTATTGTGATGACGGCGAAAAGTGAGCTGAGAATGGTGGAAGCAGCTTCAACGCGCGTCAACGCTTGATTGACTCTGTCAAGCTTGCTGGACACTCTTCCGGCCGCGGTGGTTGCAGCGTCAAGTTCAGAAGCTAGGGAAGTCGAAAAATGTTTCATTTGTTCGCCCAAGGCAAGGTTAGCCCTCTGGGCCATAGACAACTCACCGCTGAGTTGCAGATGATGCTTCACGCCCGCCAACTGGGTCGACTGTATACCCGAAATTTCATCGAGTCCGTCCTTTAGACGATGAAGAAGCTTGTTGATATCCTGTCGCTGTTAGTCTATGACTCCCACTGTGTAGGACTCACAAACCTGGGCTATTCCACCCGCCTGTATAGTTTCGAGTGCCTTTGTGGTGGCAAGGGCAAGCTCATGGGCAATGCTCATCTCTTGCAATTGGGCGGCTGCAGCTTCAGCATGCTGCTCACCAGTGGTTGCAATTGCTGTGTGCAACAGTTCTCGAAGTTTGACAAAATCAGCAAACACATCTCCCAGAGTCTGTAATGACGAATCAGTGGTTCGTCCAGCAGCCATGGTTGAATACGACTTACCTCGCGGGTTTGGGTCACGCCCTCCTGCGTACTAGCTATCCGTCGCTGCAGAGTCGTAAATGCGTTATGCACGCCTTCTTTCGCCATATTCATAGTGTCGTGAAAAATGTTAAGCTCATGTTTGTGTTGTGCCTGGCGTTCATCTCGACTTTTCCGCTCAAGTTTGCTCACGTACGCAATCTCTTCCTGCTGCTGCTCCAGGAAAGCCAGCCACTGAGAATGGGTCGAACCAAGTGCAGCACGAAGCTCGGGAAGGAGTTCTGCCAGCTTCTGGTAGGACTGAAGCGCTTCCAATCTGGTGGACTCGATAGTAGTGGCTTGACACAAAGTATTGGCATCTTGTCTGTTGTTACTATAGCTCGTCCAGTAGTAATGTTCTGTGATCAACGCTTCAAGACAGGAAGCCAGTATTTTGCTATTGACGACGTCAATCTCGTGGTCAAGTCGTTGAGGGATTTCAAGAATTGGTTTGCAAGCAGGGGGGATTGCTGCTCTGCCTTCACCCGTTTCGCATACTGCCACTCTGACTGCGTATACTGATTGAGCCCTCTCTAGTAGTTCGTGTTTCCCTTGTTCTCGACCCATGTTTGCGCCAATCGTCTTACAAGTCACAAGCAAGTGACCTGCCGCGGCTTGATGGCAGGTCGACTGGGTGGCGAGATTGTCGACCACTCGCATAGCCTTTTCAAATATCGGGTCGTTGTCAGGCTCTCTCAATATCAACAAATCAGTGAGGCTGGATTGGAGGTCACCCTGGGCTCTTCGAAGGATAGGCCATTTTAGATCCGCTGAAGAAGTTAGGGCATGAAGATGACCTTTGCTCTTGAAAGACTACACTCACCTTTGAGGAATTTCGCTTGGGTGTTACCAGCAAAGGCGATGGCCAAGGCAACCCAGATATAAGTAGACCAGAGTACATGAGAACGTCCGGATAAGACCATTGTTGCGATCATACCAGTGTGAGCCGTTATCACCGTGCGTCGAAGGAAGAAACAAAGAGAGATTACGACCAAAGCTGATGAGCGGCGGGCGTAAGTAGTAACGAGCGTGAAAAGAGACAGCTGTAGGGTTTCTATGGCCGAGTGAACAGGCCCACGCTTAGTAGCACGGATAATTCGATGGTACTCGTGGTCATGTGTGAAGCAAGGTGTAGTAAGTAGTGTTTACTTCAAAGATCAAGACGAGGTAAGACCTGGCGATCCTTTCAACGCAAGCTCACCTTCTGGAATCACACTGTGTAGACGGTAATGATCTTATCTGGACGGCAGCTACATGCGCTGCAGACTAGAGAGTGACATGGAATTCAGTGAAAGCTTGAGCAGCTGGGGATCATAAGCGGGCAGTAATCTGAGTTGGTGCTCAAAGGAAGTGGAAGAAGCTCTGGTGAGTGTGTGCGGCGCTCCCCAAACTCACTCAAAGCTCACCGCCGTGGCCCGTCGCCGCTACCGCAGTCGCAGCCATGGTGTTCATTCTCCTCTCACATTGTCCCATCTGCGCAGTATACAAACAACGCTCTTGGACATTTCAATCCACGCTCTCCCATCATTTACCGAACCTGGAACATGACAACAACTGCCTCCAATCAGACTACCACCGACCATTAATCAGCAGTCTCTTCCGCAAGCTCCTCTGTGGCTGACGCCCCCTGCTCCCCCTCTTGCTGCCCCCAGATAGTTTGCCCCAAGCGGCACACCATTCCAAGAGCACCAGTCACACTGCGAAGCCTCCCCCAATAGCCCCTTGGCTAGCTTATATGAAGTCAGCTGGCCCGAAGGGCCCAAATGGCCCGTAAGTTTGGGCCATGCGACAGCAGGTTCACCCCCAAAAAAGACGGGATTGCATTGAGGGCTCTCCAGTTACAACGTGGGATGGGAATAAAAATCCGAGCTTTCGACCTCGCTTCACGCCTAATCTTGCCTTGCGAGTGACCGCCATATTCAGGCACAAGCTTTTCAGTGGCTCGTTGCCCTTAGCATGCAGGACACCGATGAGGAGGTCTGGAGCCCGACAATGCAACTCCATTGCTGTCGTCTTTAGACCCCGCGTCCACGTTATTTTTAAGGGCTGGCCCGTATTTAACCGCCGGTGTAATATGTGCATACTTTCCACAATGATCGCAGATTCAAAGAAGATTTCCTGGTCGGACAAAAACGAGAGCTTCAAGGATGGCAGAATGGTATATTATATGGCCTCGCTCCAGCTGGAGCGAGGCCTGAGATGATCCAAGCCGTCTTTTTCCAGTACCACAACTTCCAGGGGCAGCGGAATACCGTTCAAACAATCGAGCGGAGGAGTCACTCAAGGTCCGATCAACGATCCCCGCCAAAGATCCCCTCGACGCAAAGCGATTGCCAGAAGGATCAATCGACCGATATAGGAAGGCGATGAGTCGAGGAGGGCATGTCTCTCCTATTCACCATTCAACCTCTCAAGAGGATGCACCTCGCGGAGAGTCCGACTACACTCTCAGACCATCGCATATGAATAATCAAGCTAGGGCCAGCCCTGCACTGCGACTCATCGAGTCGGAAATCAATTCAGCTCGGCGGTCCGCTCGCACGCTGCTCAGAGTCAAGCCGGTCAATTTTCATGCCTTGCCGCTGGATGCTACAATGATGGAGGGCGACACCAACCCCTTGGCAACCATCCAATTCTGTGAGCATCTACGATCCAGGGAGGGAGATTGTTATGCTGAACAGATTCATTCAAGTTGTCGAGGTTTACTGCCCGTCTATGCTGCGTTACCCAACGTTCAGATTGGAGAGCAGAGATTCGAAGTTCATCGGTGCCAATCTTTCGGCAATGATGCAAGATCCCTTGATAACGGCAGCCGGCCTTGCATTTGCTTCTCGCATACAAGACAAACGACAGAGCCGGAAAGTGGTCGGATATTACTGGAAGGCTCTTGTCCTCCTTCGAAACAGACTTGAATCCGACATTCCCAATTCGACCGACGCTATACTGCTTAGTCTTATTTATTTGATGGCTGTTGAGGTTTGTTTCCCGATAGTGGACCACCCGGCGTTAGAGTAACTCTCTACAGGCACTCTCGGAAGACTTAGGGTCGCCTCTTCAGCATCTAGGTGTGATGCATCGTATGATACAAATGCGAGGCGAGCTCAGATCTACCGGCTTACAGGGCTACATCAAGGCCCACATCAGATCGTAAGTTATCGCCTTACACGAACGGCACATGCAATCTAACATGGTCAGCTGGGAAACATTCCTGGGAGGGGTGTATGCTGAGCCTGACCGAGATCAGGTGCCAAAGTTTCCTTACGGCCTGCTTGAATATCCTACACATCCTTTCCACCCGGAATTTAGCCTTACGTTGAGTCGCCTGCCTCTAGGCTTTGTTGAATTAGCCATGTCTTGCAGACTGAGTATTCAAGTGGTTCAAGTTGTGCAGACAAGTGCGCAACTAATGTCTGATCTAATGCACCAGACGCAAGATCTCAAGCAAGATGACAAACTCGCACTTTCGCCATCAACATATCCAGTGTCGCCTCCTCAAGTCATGTTCCTGGCTATTGTAATCCTGCAAAACCAGCACCGGAACATGGTGGAAGAGTTGTTGGCCATTTCATTGCTGGCCGTCACTATCTCAACCGAGACTTTAGGGGAACATATAACGAATGGCTATGGATTTATTCAAACCTTTTGCATGCTGAACTGGGACGTCGATTATGAGAGAGAATGTCGCAGTACAGGCGCCCTGGGACTCGAAGACTTTCTTCTCTGGGCGAAAATGTTACTGTTGGCGACATTCGACCATGACACACAAACCTGGAAGACTGCCAACAAACTACGTCGGGACGTCCCATTTCCAGAGTTCAATCACCTACATTTTGAGGTCTGTAGGCAATTCTTCTGGACTGAGTTGCTGACTCTTTCGCTGGAGCGGAAGATGGCGCAGGACAAAGCACTATCTAGACCACGCAGCGACGACGATCCAGGCAGCTAGGAAACTCACGAGCAGCAGATATGGAGGGGAAAGGCTGCACTGCCTCAACTAATGGCATACTTCTTCAATGGATCAAGGATGGTATATTGTTTTTCTATGCTGGCCATCCAAACTTCTAGGCACCCCTGAGGGCTCCTATATCTGCCATATATTGGGAACAATGAACAGCCTCTTGACCTCTGATAGCACGTCGCGCACCTTTTTTGCCAGCAATATAGAAAACTTTATTGGAATCAATTCGACCAGATGAATTGATGCGACGTCCTCGGATCAACCCAGGGTGCCTGATCTGGCTGATCTGGCCAATTATGTGGCGATTTGCAATGAGGCATGAGCTGCGCACATCAGGCAAGGAGAGACCATTGAACGGACAGATAAACTTGATCAGGCCTGAGGATTCCAACGGCACGAATAACTAGCAATGCGTGGTTTTCTCACTGAACTCTTGCATCAAACTTTTTCATGTGTAAAAGTTCACGTGCCCCACCGTAAGCCCCAGCCTCGTCAGTTCCAGCGGCGGCACAGCGAAGATGTTCCGCGCGGCGCTAGCGGTAGGGTTCGCTTAAGCGGATATTGGCTCAACCGCCTTCAATAAACTCCACCTAGCCATGTGTGATAGCGGAACATTGCATGTGATAAGTGTACAAGGCAGTGAGGCAGCAATTGTAAAAGGCTTGGGATCGACAGTCTCCAACTGGATTGACAACTCTCTATAAAATTTCGGCAGAGGAGCGGACGCACAAGATCAACCCTGAGGGATTTTGTAGAATATATGTGAGACACACACCTGGCCCATCGTACTTGGACTTCTCTATACCACATCACTTGAACGCCCGAGACATTGACACTTTTTTTACACCTTCTTTTTTTAACCATTTTAATTTTCAAGAGACCGCCGGAGACAATGGGGTGCATGTTCTCCAAGAAACTCCGAAAGGAGATTGAGGAGGAGGAGGACAACCTCCCACCGCTCGTTTTCGAGCCGGTGCCCTTCCGCCCTCCCGCCTGTCCTCTCCCCGACTGCAAGCCAGTCACCAAGGAGGCGAGTGAACCTGAAAAGGTCACTGCGTCCCTCGTCCTTCGCTGGCTCAAAGCGTTGGACGAGAGGGACCCAAGTCCCTCCTTGGTGCTGGAGAGGAAGGCAAGGGAGAGGCCACCGCTGCCACAGATGCGGTGTGAGAATTGGAAGAAGCTCGAGCTTGAGTCGAGCGACTCCCTCGTCTGCGAGTGCTGCGCGTAAGTGAATTTTCGTTTGGCGTCTTCCGCTCCGCCCAACTCAAAGGATGCTGACTAACTGGCTTGGCAGAGACAAGCGTGTTGCGCCTCCGCGCAACCCAAGATACGCTTGAAGGAGCTCCCCTTCCAAGACTCGCTGGCTGCACGTCTCTTCTGCTCGGTCCTCTCTTCTCGGTCCTCTCAATTCCTGGTCACAACATTTCACAGTCACACTCAAATCACACCCTTACCATCATCATCATGGACGAAGCAAAGACTCTCATCCGGACGGCAGTGCGCACTTTCTTCCCTCACCCTAAACAGATCATCATTGTCGACGCCATCCTCATGCACTCAGTTCTACAAATGGACGACCTGAACATTCTCCTGAACTCTCAGCCCAAAGACATCCGCAGCCTACTCAACCCTCTGCGCACTGCTCGGCTTGTCCAGACACAGTCCCGCAATGAAGCCAAGATCGGCTCTACAAGACCCTCGTCCAGAGAATACTACTACTGTCCCTTCCACCCCGCAATCGACGCAATCAAATACAAGATCGCAAAACTCCGCAAGAAGGTGGAGGCGATGTATCAACAAGATGAGACCAAACGCAAAGACTGGCGCTGTCCCCGCTGCAAGGCAGAATATGAAGAACTTGACATACTCGACAAAGTTGGAGACGAAGGCTTCTACTGCGACAGATGCCATGCGACGCTGGTCCAGAACGAACAAGTCGCACTGAAAGACCGCGGCAACCACGAAAAGATCAGAAAGCTGAATGATCAGCTCAAAAAGTTTGACGACATGATCCTCAAGATCGATCGGACAGACATCCCCGAAAACGACTTCACGTCAGCGTGGGACCGAAAGAAAGACGTCCCCCGACCGCAGGGAAGTGGGAAAACAGACACATCAGAACAGTACGTTCCTCTACAGAGAGGCAACAGGTACTACGACTACAAGAGAAGCGGCCCAGACATGGTCGACGTTAAAAATCTCACCGTCAACCTGACTAGTGGTGAGGAGCAAGAACGTGAAGAAGCAGAAAGGAAAGAAGAGCGCAGAAAATTCCTCGCCAAACAGAATCAACTGCCAGTGTGGTATACAAGCAGTGCAATCGGGGCTACCACCAATGGAACCGCCACGGCTGCTACCACTCCAGATGAAGATGACGCCGGAGGAGAAGAAGATGCAGAGGAAGAGGAAGACTTTGAAGATGTGGATGTCAAACCAGAACCAATTAATGGCATCAAGAGAGAGTATGAAGTTGCCTTCGAAGGAGACTCTGAAGAAGATGAAGAGTTTGAAGATGCAGTCTAAGGACAACATGGATCGCATCAAACCAACCAAATCAGCCCAACAGAACTGCAGATGTGACTGGAACCTGAGCTGGGTTTTTCCTTTCCGCAGCATGGCAAAAGCATCAACGACAAGCATCATTACACGTATTGTTATGGCGTGTGGAAAAGACCAATGTTATTGGCACAGCATTCTTACAACATTGTTACTGAAGGAAAGCATTCTTACAACATCGTTACCGAAGGAGAGGCATTGTTACTGCAGAGCAAAAGCCATTCTTACAGCATTGTTACCCAAAAGGGAAAAATGACATTATTACCAGCATCCTTACTTACCGACACGCAAACACCACCAACGCCACCAATCACAACATCATTATCACGGCATGGGCATTTTTATTGAGCAGGCAACCAGGAAAAGGAAAAAAAGAAACACGCATATTGTTAGCATTGGCATGGGCATTGGGTATCATTACGGATCATGATCATGAATATGAACATGACACAAAAGCTATTATTACGAATCAATGAATGAATGAAATGGAACAGAGCACTGGTATCGTTATAACGAAACAGAGGCAGACGGATAGACAGTGTATCAGTATCAGTATCAGTATCAATAATACAACAAAGTATGATCAAAATCATTTCGCTTTCGCTGCTGTAATACCTACCTCTCTAGGTATTTGGTTCTCGAACCCCCATTTCCCATTCACGATTGCTTTATGTTTTCTTCCCTTTCATTTCCTCGCCCTTTCATGCTCTACCTACTCGGATCGATACCTAGGTGCTTAGCTTGTTCAGGCAAGTCACCTACACCCGTACCCAGCGAGACAGGACTGGATGCATCACCTGCCCAACAACAAGCCCAAGATCCACCCGCCGATCCACCAGACCAACAAGCCGGCGACGACGACGACGCCCGCGACCTTGAGCACGGCGACCTTGTCGCCCTGGCGCGCCATGCGGGTCAGCCGACCCGCGCTGCCGCGGATGTTTGTGCTCATGCTGCTAAACACCTCGTTGGTGTTGTCGAGCGTGCCCTGGCTGCGCGCATTGTCGTAGATGTCGAGCGTGATGTGTTTGAGCGCCGAGGTCTTTTGGGAGAGGGACGAGAGGAGGGCGTTGTTTTGTCTGTCTCGCCGCAATCAGTGTGTTGACTTTGGTCAAGGGTCTGGGTGTATCGAGGGTGAGGGAGAATGGACTTACTCTTCGCGCCCGTAGGCGTCGGCCATTGCGGCGGTGGCGGACTTGGTGACTTTTCCGGTGTCCTATGTTCTTGGACTTCTGAGTCGGTGACAGAGGCAGCCCTCACGAGGCCGATTCCCCCTTGCTTAGGACTAGGACCTTGAAGCCGTATGAAAGGGCTAGATATGATGCCGCTCGCCCTCGACCCTGCGCGGTTTCGCAGACACACAGGCGGGCTAGTGTCGGCTCTCGTTTGTTCTCGCCCTTCTTCCCCTTCTCTTTCTCCCAAGACTTTGTCCTCTTCTTCACTTTCGCGCCGTCAGTTCCGTTGTCTTTCCAAGGTCTCGGTGGCTGTGGCTGTGTCTGTGATTACGGCGACTCGAATACGGGGGGGGGCCGGGAAAGGAGCGCAGCGGATGCCCTTGGGGAAACGCAGTTAACTCCGTCGAGGTCGAGTGCGCGTGTGAGTCTCTGCTGCGGAGGCTAGGAGGGAGAGAGACACAGGAGTTGTGATGTCAGTGAGTAGTGTATCAAGATTAAGAGTTCCTTTGCGAATAATGGAGAGGTATCAGAGGCACTTGGTGACACTTTTGGTTGCGGAAACGTGCCGCCTCGCCTCGCCTCGCATGGCCTTGCCTCTGGCGCAGGAACGGCGGTAACGGGGGTCAGGGCGTGACTGGCAATGAATGGTTAGGGTAAACCTTACATACATGTAGGGTACAAATCAATACCTAGGTAATTCTCGGTGTCTTGCAGGATGCCTCAGCCTCGCATCTACAACACTTTGTAACGAGAACTGAAATCATGATGCACCATACAAACCATCAGCCGTTGGCCATCTTGCTCGGGACAGAGTCTCAGACACTCGGTATTCGCGCCATCTCAATGACCCTCTCTATATATCACTCATCTCCCGTTAACATGCATGCAGCCCACACGATACTGTGTGGTATTTATCCGGATCTGAGCAAAGTTTGTGCATTCCTCCATCTATGTACAATTTTCTAGGTGGAGGGACCATTCCTATCCTCCCCTCCCCTTCCTAATCCCATCTGATAAGTCAGGACCTGGTCCTAGCAGATGTCATGTCGAGTTTGATGTGTCAAAATATTGTAATGTCATTTCGAGATATGTGATCATACCGCTCCTCAAGTTGAAAATATTCCTTCACAAATACGCATCCTTCCTGCCATCCGCTATGCTAGAAATCGACGAGAGAAAACCCTCCAAAGACATTGGGAGAGCAACGGGCCAAAGTGTTCAGCAGTATATCTTGTCCAATATCAAAGCGGCGATACTGCCAGTTGGCTTGAAGAACAAGTCGGGACGCCTTTTCTTCGACCTCGCCGAATATTACCACATATCGTCGTCATCATCGTCCAGCTGGGACCCGCCGTGGCGTGAGCCCCCCTGTTGTACGTGCTCTTGAAGTTGATTGTTGTTATGGTACTGATTATATGCACCGGCACCACCGCCATATGCCGAACCATTACCCTCGACCGTGTGCTTGCTTCCCCTCGAACTTGGCCTCGAGCTGCCAGCGTCGTAATCATAGCCAGACGAATCACCCGCAAAATCTTGTTGAGAACCATATGACTGCTCTCCTTGGTACGATTGAGGTTGTTGCTGCTGCTGCTGCTGAGCTTGCTGCTGCAAAGAAATTAGCACGAGAACCTCCATACTGCCTAACCTGAAGTACTCACTTGTTGATATCGCTGGTATTGGACATATTCGTCCGGCTGCTGCTGTTGGTCTTTCTGCTGCTGTTTCCGCTGCTGTTTGGCACTCGTGGGTAGATTCATTTGTGGGTGCATCTGCTGGACCTTGGCCAAATAACTGTACATGAAATTACTGAGGAGCACCTGCGAGTACAGGGCTCGACGAGGATTGGCCAATTTAATATGTGCCATGCGATAGATGGCCCTTTCTTCCAAAATCGAGAACCTGGTCCAATTATAGTCGATGTCGGGTTTCAATTCTCGGTACGGCGGCTCAGGCGACAGACCTCGGTCGCGGTGTTTCTTTGAGCTGCTTTCCTTGTCTCCCTTGCTCCTCTTGCCGCCAAATATCGAGGAGAAAAGGCCTTCTTTTTCCTTCTTGTCACTCCCTGACGCTTTCCGTTGGCTTTCTTTTCGGCGTTCTTCATCAAGCTTGAGGTGTTCCCGATCTAGCACCAGACTTTCACGCCCTCGAACACCCCCATCAATGGATGTTTGGAGCAGATCAAGCCGTGTATTGTCGTGTTGTTGTGGAGGTTTGGAAATTTTGGCCTTTGGTTTCTCGGATTTGTCTTTGTCTCCGTCTTCTTTTCCCAGCAACCAACTCCAGCTTGACTTCTTGGTCTCTTCCTTCTTTTTGGAGTCGGCTCTCTTATCCACACTGAGGGTCGGGATAAACGAGAGATTGCTAGTATTTGTGTCATTTCCAGGCAGAGGTGATGGCTGTTCGAGACTTTGGGAGGGTTTTGTTTGTGGCAATATCTGATTTGCTGGGGACGGTGTTCGGGGTGTAATGGTCGGTAAAGACCCCCTGGACGGCATCGACGGTCTTTGCGGGGAAATGGCTCTTGTTCGGCTATCGTCCCGAGAAGAAACCCTCTCGGGATGTCGCACTGGCTGTTGCACGGGTGGGGGTGTCATCGAAGAGGACCGCGGAGGCTGGACAGACACCTGTGGCGCTTCAAGGGGAGGCGGAGTCTCAACAATTTGTGGCACGGGCTTTCGCTCGAAAGAAACGCCCGTCGAAGGAGGTGATTTTGGAGGGGGTGGTGATTTTCGCGACTCAGGTATGCCTGCTGCTGTTGGCCTTTTCGTTTCGTCGTCATTGCCGAACCTATGATCAAACGGTGTTGGTCCAGAAGACCCGCCGCTAGAGGACGAGGTTGCTGGCCGAGAGAAGTTTGTAGGAGCAGTCCGTCCGGAATTTGCTGTGCTAGATACGTCCTTCAAGGTCTGCGCAAGGCTGGGACCCTCGACGGATATATTTGGCAATGGAGGAACCGCAGGGATGCTGGATTCGGGCGACTCAGGTCTGCTGCTCGAAGGGCTCCCAGCCGCTGCCCTTTTCGCGGCTCGTTGAGCGTAGGTGCCTCGATCTCCCCTCCCTTTGACACTTCCACCTCGTCGGTAGGTTGTTCTTGTCGACCTTTTGAGACTATTGCCCGGGACTGATGGTAGTATTATATCCGGGGTATCGTCTTCTGATGAAGGATCTAGACTTGGCCTCGACAAGCCCGGGGTATTCGCAACCAACGTTTCCAACTCTTGCAGGTTTGGGTCTAGAGGCGCCGCCCGGCGTGACTGTGATTTTTTCCTCTCTAATCGTTCCGCACCATCTTGGTACCCCACAGAACTATCGATCTGGCGTGATAGCATCGATTTCTTTCTGCGCAAGCCAGAATTACCTCCTTCGGCACTTAACGAGGAAGACCGAGACGAGGTTGGTGTAGTAAAAGCCGACAGTTCGCCCGATCTCCTTCTGATTTGCTCTGCTTTGCTTTCCAAAAACGTCTTGAATTCCTTCGGCGCAAGTTCTGGGTGTAATCGAGCCGGAACCCAGAATAATCGAGAGGAGTCGTCTTCACTCGAGGTGGGTGACGGAGCACTCGGCATGCCGGCCGCATTCAGTTGGGGCAGGTCTGGGTCGTCCGTTGCACCCACATGCATTGACATGCGTCTCAGGGCTTGCAAATTGCTCAGCTCTTGCGCCAGACCTGCCGGGCTAGACTCGTAGTCAATATCATTTAGTGGGAATGGAGAGGTGGCGGTATCCGAGGACGAGCGCTCTCGTGAGCCCGAGGCCGACGATGATGTGCGACTATGGTGTTCCCAGGAATGAACTTGACCAGGGGACCCTCGGGAAACACCGTTCGATTGTGCGCCAGCATGGTCGTCTGGCATATCTCGGTAGGGCAACTGTTTTCTGGGTATAGACGGCGTCCTCCTCGGGGTCACCACACCCTCCACGTGGTGGCCATTGATTTTAACTTCTGATTGTGAATCCGCATTCTGATATGGGCTTGAATAGGAAGGGTGCTGCTGCTCTTGCTCGGAATCGTCATCGTAGAGGTATCCGATGGTTTCGGTAACGTGGTGATTCTCATCGCTTATCGACAATCGGGGCAGGTGCCCCCTTTGGCGGGCGGCGAAGCTCGCGCCTGTGTCTCGACTGCGGGTTGAGGTCTGTAAGATTCAACCATGTCAGTTGGTCTCTGTTATAGTACCAGAAAAGGTATCGGATCCTCCTCGCTGGACCCTGGGCCCCAAGATCTTGCAGTCGCCCATCTTTTGTACAAAGGAAGCAATTCGACGAACCTGCATGGAGCGGACCGGCTGCGGCTACAGATATCCAGGACTGAAGTTATCCTGTATCAGGAGCGCGTGCAAACACAGGCTACAGCCTTCCCTCCTAACCCGCCTCCTGCGCGCAGTGGCCGACAGGTTGGTGCTGCGGAGGAGACTCCTTTAATCATCGGAGTGAAGCAGGCAGTGTTCGGAGCGAATAGAACGGCCGAAGAGAATGGTTCACCGTTGGGCAAAAGTTGGAGGTAACTGGGCGTTATCGAAAAGCGGTTTTGGTAGTGGTGGACCAAGTTGCAACAATTGAGATCATGGGGGATGATCAACGCGGGAAGGAGAGGTGCTCGGTGTGTTTGCGGCGGCTTGTACCCAGGCACCCAGGCACGTAGCCCTCTGTCGGGGGTCCAAAGACAAGGCTCAGAAGATCCGGATGTGCAGGCGGGCGCTGACAGGACGAGACAAGTGTGTGGTGGTCTGGTTACTCTAAAGGAACTGTCAGTTGGGCTGCTAAAGGCTGCTAAATGTAGAGTCGTGGGTTGGTGATGTGCAGGCAAGGCAGGGCAAGGCAGGACAAGACACAGGGAGGATGGGGGGATCATCGTAGGCAAGTAGCCGCGCTCTTGTCAGCCAATGGTGGAATTGCTACCCCGTATCCCTGTCAAATCGCCAGGGATCGCCCAGACGTACCAGGACGTGCTTGGACGTGCCCGTATTATTTTGTGCTGTGCCCTGATCAGTGGCGCAGGTGGGCCTCCTACTCCTTTATCATTCGTCTGCTCTCTATCCCTCCCCTTCCGCCAATCCACCCATCGGACAAATGTCACACTTGTCGTTGCTCCTGACTTGGCGGAAGGTTTATCTACATTCCGTCATAGGGAGGTCCAGGTCTTAAAAATCTGTATAGTGCCTAGATAACATGGGAATTTGTTTTTCGGGTCCTTTGCCAGCCCTATATTCGTCGAGGGCATTCCTCTAGTCGTCCCCAGATCTCATAACTATTCGTCTCGTACCTCAGCAGAGGCCGACTGTCCTCATTGATCCCTTATCAACCCCATGGATTGTCAAAAGGATCCGATGCGCCTCCAAATCCCCCATTCCCTTTGGCTTGTGGAGCTACTGGTGTCTGCGTCGTAGAAGCTGAGGTCCATCCCCCAAAGTCCTCGTCGGCTGTGACAGAAGCCTGTCGCACTGGTTTGTTGCTCGACGATATCGGCTCTCCCCACCCTCCATGGATATCATTGGGTGTAATGTGTGCAGGTGGCTTCCCCAATTCGACCTTGGGCTGTGCTGGCTTTGCAGGTGTTGGTTCGGGCGCCGCCCAAGGACTGCTATCATTGCCTGAAGCCCACGGGTCAAACATTGACGAACTGGTTTGAGCGACGGCTGGTGCTTTGAACGGTTGAGGAGCCGGCTTTGGCGTTGGATCAGGCTGTGAAGATAGATTGAAAGGAGAACTAAATGTCGAGCTCGGATTGATAGGTGACGACACTTGCGGGGCGGGAGCGGGAGCGGGAGCAGGTTTGGGTGGTGAGACAGGTGTCGAGCTGGCAAAGCCTCCAAAATCATCAGCCGCAAACAAATCAACAGGAATAGACGTAGCAGATGGTTTGGGTGCAGCGGCGGCCATAGGCTGTGGAGGCGGGGATCTTTGGGTAAAGGAGAAATCCAGTCCATTCGACGCCGATGGCGAGGTGACAGTGGCTTTGGCAGCGGGTGCTTTGGAGGGAAGCGCATCGAAGAAACTGCCACCACTCAGGGGAGGTGGCGATGTCACCTGGGGAGCGGTTGGCGTGGCTTTCGGCGCTGCAACAGGGCTGGTCAGACTTCCAAACGCCGAAAACGCAGAGGCTGGCTGCGGCGCGGGAGGTTTTGTGGTGGTTGGATTAGGGAAGCTCAATCCGCTAAAGGCATCGGCAAGACCTCCGAACGCATCTTGCTTCGCTGGAGCGGGTGATGTGGCCAGTCCACCAAATGACGGCTGACGGTCATGCTGGGGTTGAGGTGCTGGTTGAGGTTTAGGTGCAGCAGAATATAACGAGAGGATTGAGCTCTTCAGGTCTCCTCTACTGTTTGTGGAAGCCGAAGGATTGGATGCTGCACTCGAAGGTCGACCAATGCCACTGGAGGATGAGCCTCCAAAAAAATCTAGTCCAAGCAAAGAGTCTTGTGGCTTCGCAGCGGGCTTTGGAGCCGGAGCAGGCGCTGCTGGGCCAGTTCGCGTGGGTTTCGAGTCAGGAATGTCCGCTGTATTGGGCCTGACAGGGGGAGCTGGAGCGAAGTCGTCGAACAGATTCACATTTGCAGTCGGCCGAGGCTGCGGAGGCGGAGGTGGTTGAGTAGACGCTTGACGCTGCGAAGCCGACCTCTCAATTTTGGCCTTCTCTTGCACGATATTCAATGGCATATTATCGTCACCTTCGGCGTCTAGCGTTGAGGGATCAGGCATGGCCCCGTCCATGACCCATCTCTTGGATTCGTACTTTGTACGTATGAAGTTCTCAATCTTCGCCTCGGACGGCACGTGCCCTGGTGCCAACTTGGCCTCCCAGTATTTGTTGGCTCTTGAGTTGCCCCATTTCAAGACACTCTGCAGTTGTTCGTCTGTCCAGGCATCCAGATCAACCGACTTGACTCGGCTGATGTGAGTGCCCATGCCTCGATGAATGCCCGAGCATCGAATGCAAATGAACACCCCAAGATTCCAGCTCGCCCATCGTGGATGCTTGTTTCTTTTGCAGTCAGCGCAGACTTTGTTTCCTTCCAGTTTGACTAGAGCTTTGAGGGTCTGGGCATTTTGGGCCGCTCTGTCATTGCCGGGCCGTCGAGACATCGAGGTTCAAGTGGTCGTGACAACGTGTTTGAGGGGGCGAAACTGGAGTGCACAGTTGTTGAGGTGCACGAGGGCGATGTCTGATGGTATGAGGGCTTCCCGATGGTGTGAGTGCAGAGTCAAGACACCTGCTGGTTCACGTCAGAGGATGGGATCGTTCGGCCAGGGTATTCCGCAACGACGGATAAGATCCCAAGTGGTTGTTTGCCCGCCGAGTTGGAATGACAGAATTGCAATGTCAGCGCCCCGGTTTCCCAAGACTAGTGGGATACGCCGCTTTATTTGAAGATGCCCAGTCTGCACGTGAACACGCGTCAACATCGAACGACCTGTCCTGCCGCTTTTCCTTTCAATTCTCTGCTTCTATCATATCCCTCTCACCTGTGATACGGTCTTGTCTTGTCTCAAGGCTATGGGCTAATGCGTGGATCTAAAAATGATTCTGGCCACCCCTCTCACGCCAGACGGTTTCTGCAAAAACCCTCTCTCTGACGGTCAGCCCTTTCCGACCAACTCCAACTTGATCACACAGGAGGTGTCATGCTTCAGACCGCTCCCATTGACACAGTGGAATCTCTGTTGCTTCGTCCACCTTTGCTCAGAGATATCCGAAAGACATAGCGTGCACTCGATATACCTAGTTTGTCAGTCTGACAGGTCCTCCCCCCTATTCCCTTACCTAGGTATATGGCCCTCCCCCCCCCCCCTCTGAAAATGCCACCATTTCCCCAAATTGAGTTCGCCAGGCGTTACGCAAAAACCAATAGCCTTTTTTTCCGCGACAGCTCTCTCATACGGGAAAAGAAAAGGAGCAGGCATCTATGGATTTCGTAGGTAGTGGCACCTGGATGCTCGCTCTGCCAGTATATGAATTTGTTACGCAGTGGGAGATGGAATCCCCGATGCTTATGCTTATGCTTCTTGAGTAACGGATGCGTGCGTGGTCAAATACAATATGTATCGAAGAAGGGGTCACGACGGCATGGCATGGCGTAACCGGAGACATGGTAGGTTCTCGTATTTCTGCTTCGCTCTGTCGTTCTCAAAGAAAAAACCCTGTGTCCGAATAACAAAGAGGAGTGTTCTTTGAGACGGGTACTTATACTACACACAGTATACGTGACCATCAAAGCCCCAGCCTGGCGTCCTCCCTTAGTTGGATCAACTATTCGAACACAGCATACAGCATACAGCATACTTAATGCCCACCGCCCAGCACAGTCCCCGAATTATCCCGGCACGAGAATGCACCACCTATCATGCAATGTTAGCACAAATATAGGCTACTGAGTAAGAAACGAAGGGGGCCAACTCACCGACTGTACCGTTCCTATACGCGTCGAGGATACTCTGTATGCTGCCGTAGGTGCCGCCAACGCAGAGGAAGGCGCCCAGCAGCATCAGCAGGATGTGGGCGGCGTAGATGGCCTTTTGCACGATAGTGCCGCTGCGGTAGTGCGGGTGGTCGTACATCCAGATCCAGGCGGGGACCATGAGCGCGAGGGGCGCGAAGCAGAAGCTCCCCGTGATGGCGACGAGGTAGTTGAACACGGGGATGGCCTGGGCCAGGATGAAGGCGATGGCCGCGAGCCCGAACGTGCACCCCAGCCAGGTGCCCCAGTGCACGAGCGAGTTGGACTGCAGATGCTTGGAGCGGCGCAGGAGACGCACAAACAGGTATTTCGCCGCCACGTGGTTGTAGAAGGCGCCGGACACGATCAGCCCGATGAGGCCGATGCCGTAGCAGACTTTCTTGATCGTCGGGCCCGCGGAGCCCAGGGCGGGTGCCGTGATCCAGTGGCCGCACCAGGCATAGATGACCGAAGCGAACGTGATGTAAGAGGCAGTCACGAAGGACATGCACACGTAGAGGGCCTTGTTGAAGTCTTGCGGGCGGCGCATCTCCGCGATGACGGGGATGAAGGCTGAAGTGCCGGCCGAGGAGACGAAGATGGTGGTCGTGGCGACCATGCCGCCGTGGAATGAAGTGGAGCTGATCGCGTGGTATCCGAGGTCTGTATTGAGGAGATGTTAGCACTTTCCAGAAAACAAGCAGGATCGAGACTGTGATAAAACTCACCGTACACCCCAGTTTTGGGGGCTGCAGCTGGACGGTCGACCTGGGTGACGGCAACGACCAGGATAAAGACGGCTACATAGATGGAAATGAAGCCCGCCCAGCCGACCCAAC